TTGTCTGTGCCACCTGAGTACATCCTCTCGGGTTGTCCAGGTGAGGAGGACACGTAAGAGAGGCCTCCACGGGCCCCGGGGCCATCCTGACCCAGGCTCTCGCCCCGGAGGCCCTCAGCTCTGCGAGCTCAGCCAGAAAATGACTCACCCACAAAGCTGATTGTCGTTTGGTTCAGCAACCTCGAAAAAGAGTGGGAAAGGTCAGGAGGAGCCTCCGATCCCGGCAGCGGAGCAGGAATGCTGGCCGGGAGGCAGGGCCGTGCATTTGGGGTTAGAATGGGTGAGCACCCACTCGGAGGGAGATGGTCCTCAGAGGCCCGGCTGCTTTGGGAAAGGAGCAAGCTTCTGGGGCTGACGGGCAAATGGAACAGTGTGAGAAGCTCCCACAAAGCTCCTTTGCCCCCAGATATTAAGCCCAGCAGATGCCTGGAATTCTAGCATTCACCACTTATTCTTTGGTGGTAAGCATTGCTCTTGGTTCCTTCACTTGTAAAGTGCAAATCTCCTTTGGAAAAGGAGGAGAGGACGTCTCACATCCAACAGCGCGACACGTTTTAGAGATTGTAAGTGATAGGGGCTTTGACCCTGGATAACTCGGAGGAGCCATCAGATTTGGAGCTCCCCTTAGGGTCAACGGAGACTTGCTGGGGCTACACTGCTGCCCATGCCTTCCTTTGCCCGATTCTGTGTTCTTAACTGCCCTTCCCACAGGCTTTGACTCCCGGGACACTCCCTGATAAACACCTTGTGGGCTGATCTCCATCTCAGGGTTGGCTTCCTGAGGCATCTGACCTGTAACAACGGTGGTGATGATGACAATGATGGTGATAATGATGATGGTGATGACAGTGATGGGGACAGAGTTGCAGCTACTGCTGATATTGCTGCTGATGATGGTGACAATGATGGTGGTGATGATAGTGATGATGATATTATAGTAGTGATAGCGGTGGTGATGATGAGGGTGGTGGTGATGACGACAATGACAACCATGACCGTATTGAGGAGGGTTATGGTGATGGTGATGATGGTGGTGATGATAGAGATGATGATAGCGGTGATGTTGGTGATGATGGGAGTGGTGGTAATGTTGATGACAATGACCATGATGGAGTTATAATGATGGTGATGATACTGATGATGATGGTGGTGGTGATGGTGGTGGTGATGATGATGGTGGTGATGATAGTGGTGATGATGGTGGTAATAATGGGGAGAGTGGTGATGTTGATGATGACAATGGCATGATGATGATGGTGATGATAGCTCAATGTTCGCATGCACTTACCACATGCCTGGCACTGTCTTTTTTTATTTTTTATTGTTGTTGTTGTTGTTTTTTGCTAGACTTTTCATAATTTAATCCTTACAACAGTTCTATGTCTTAGGAGCTAGTTTTCTGCCCAATTTTTCAGAAACGGAAACGGAGGCTCAAAGAAGTTAAGGTCACATGCAGAGATCATGGCGGAGCCGGGACCAGAACCCAAGCCCCCACGTCCCCATCCAAGGTTGTTTTTAATTCCCGAGGTGCTGCTCCAAGGGGCCAGTGACACAGGGCGGCACATAGCGTCTGGGCAGAGGGAGATCCAGCCCAGGGCTCTGACCCATTGGCCTGAGGCCCAGGGCCAGGAAGGGAGGCGCCTGGGAGCTCTTTGCACCATAGCTCCAGGCAGTACGAGCTGTCCTCACTGGGGGGCGGAGGGCTTTGGGGTTATTCTGAGAGCTGGGCTCCTCTGAAGTGTAGCCAACGATGGGAGTGCCTAACATGACATTTCCAAAGATAGCCGGGCGGGGCTGGGGCTGTGGCGTTTGAGGCTGGGCCTTGGAGAATAGCTGTGCCGGGTGGTTGGCCAAGCATTGTGGAGGGAGCTGGCCTGTCAAGTGGTATGTGACAGAAGTCACATGGGCGTGTCTCCTGGGTGCAGCGAGACCCGCTCTGCTTACTTTCAGAGGCCTTGCTGTGTGGCTGCTTCCATGGCACACACTAACAACAAGATAGGTTGTTAGTCCAGAGGCTACAGTATTTAAAAAAATAGCAATGACACTCCTAGTAACAATGGTAGGGATGGTAACATCGCTACTATTAGTAATGGTAATTATGCCAATGCTAATCTCTCTCTATATAAAAGGCTAATATGCAAAGTGTCCCCTGGGGAGAGTTCCACTGGGAGACTGAGTTAGATCGCTTGCTATGACGTGCGCCGACCACCAGGGGGTGGTGTGGAACGAAGGAAGGCCCTGGCCGGCCTTGATCACTGGCCAGGCCTAGGGACCATACCCGTGCACGAATTTCATGCACTGGTCCTCTAGTAATAATGATAATAGCAGTAGAGGATACAGGCCTAGAATCCTCCCCCACCACTTCTCCGCTGTGTGATCTCGGACACACCACTTAACCTTTTTGTGCCTTCATGTGTAAAATGAGATAATCATGGTGTTTAGGATTTCTGTGAGGAGTACATGAGGCCCCAGCAACTGTGCCTGGTAGAGTCAGGGACAAAGTTAAAATCATAATCACGACAGTGACGGAAACAACGATGCAGTCTTTATTATGTGTCACGTGCTTTATGTGTATGATCTCATTTAATCCTCGGGTCACCCTGATCGGGTAGGCACTATTATCACTCCCAGCTTACAGATGAATAAACTGAGGCTTGGGCGGCTGAAGGCTCCTGTTCAAGGTCCCTCACATTGGTAGCCAACATTTGAACTCCCCCTGTCCGACTCCAGCGCTAAGGCTGATGTGGGGAAGAGGCGGGAGGGGTGGAGAGGAAGGGACTTGAGAACTCTTTGGTGATGAGAAGTGGCCGACATCTCCTCACAAAACTGAGCACCATCAGAACAGTGTGAGCAAACTGCTTTGCAACGTGCACAGCGCTCCCTGGTGGTTCGTGGTGGAGACTGCTGGGAGCTTTTAAAAAAAACACCGGTGCCCAGGCCCCACGCTGAGGACTCTGATGCACAGCCAGGGTGAGGGCCGGATGTGTGTGGAGAGTTGGCCAAATGAATGAATTGGGCTCATCCTGTTGGCTCACCTTCTTCATGCCAATGCTCAGGGCACAGTGAGCCCCTGCTGTGCGGTAGAATCCCCGGCATGTTCCCCCAGAAGGAAACGAGGCGGGAGAAGCGTGGGCTTTGGGGTCACCCAGCCCTGGGGAGCCCGGCTTGAGTCCGTTGACCTGTTGAGTCAGTTTCCTTGTTTGAAAAAAAGCTCAGTGGGTGGTCTTGGGAATGGGCAGGATCACAGACGCCAGGGCCTGGCACAGAGCATGGTGCCGGATGGACAGGTGTCACTCACAGGTCACGACCTCCGTGGGCGAGTCCACGTGGAGAGGCTGAGACCCATCTGGAGACCCAGAAACCCGAGACCTGAGCTCATCGGAGGGTGCACGATGCCCCCGTGTGGTTACAACTAAGTTTGCCTGGGGACAGGAGTGTCTCGGATGTAAATTTAAAACAACACTCATTGCTTTTAGCGGCACCACCTCATACTTGAGGTCGGGGCTATTCTGGTAACATCGTTTTGGCTGTTCACAAGCAGCTTCTGATGTGTAGAACTCGGCTTCAGCTCCCAGGGGATGTTAACAGGGACAACAACGTCTCATTGAGAGAGTCGCAGACGTGTGGTGGGGAATTGCAGTGCTGTCCCATGTAATAAAGGAGAGACCGCGCAGCTGGGAGGGCTGTGAATTAGACAAAACACGCCACCCGGGCCAACCTGACACGGCCCCACCGGCGGCTCTAATTTGAGATCCAGCCCCGTGGTCTCCCGGGCTGCGCGGAGGGAAAGGCCTTTGAAGTTCTGGGCCTTCTCCAGAAGCCACGGGGTCTCAAAATATCTTCGCATGTTTTAAAGAGAGGTATAGTTTAGAGAAGAGGCAGCTAGCTTCTGCCCGAACCAAAACCTCGACCAGGAAAGACAAACACAGCTTCCTGTGGAGGGGAGGACAGTCTGAGACTGTGAGCTGGAATTCCAGAGTCACGTTTCCCTAGGACACCAGGGCTTTAGCTGGTGCTCGGCTGTGGGTGCCTCAGGCCACCCCTGCCCTGAGCGCACAGCCCGTGCGCAGACAGTTCGGAATGAGCTAGGTGGTATCACCCGTGCAGGGCAGGGCGCCGGGCGAAAGCAGCTTCTTCCCCGGGCCATGGCTCATCTGCCACCGTCCACATGAGTGTCACCTGCCCAGACCTGACCCAGAGCCCTGGCCGCATCCTGTATTTTAAACCCAGTCCCTGGGCGCTCTGTCCCTGCATCTGGCCCACAGCCTCAGGGTATTGTGTGAGCCAGCATTGGTAGATTTCAGATTTCATAAATGAGTGAAATTACAAAAAGAATCTCCTGTTCTCATTTTGAGTTGTCCATCTGTTGTTACTCTGCAGAGAACCACCCAAAGTGCCGGTCCCCTCCTTCTGCCCTCCCCCCGTCTCCTAAGCATGGCGGTCTCTGTGCCCCCCTTCCCGCCCTCTGTGCTCGGAAGGAGCACTGTCGCCATGGCCCAGCACTTGGGAACCCAAGGGGCTCTGGGCAGCACTCTGGGATGAGTGAAGTTCCCAAGAGATAAGGCTTAGGGGAGAAAACCGTTGTCTCACATTCTTTAATTTATTATATATATATGCAGATCTGTCTTATGTACAATACTTGGTTCTATCAAACAATCATACAAGGCATTCTATTGGTAATCCTCCCCAAAATAGATTCAGATAAAATAGATCTTTGTGCACTTCATAGACTAGCAAAACTCAAGACTTACTGATTGCACTTTTGAGGCTGTACACTCCATTCAAAATATACAAATTAGGATTAAGGCGGTGCACGTGGGCTGAAAGAAACCACAGGATTCGGAACTAGTGAACTGTATTCTGCTGGCATCAGAGCCGCGGTGTGAACAGCAAGTGCCATGCATATGGCCTTCCAGTGCAGTGCGAGGGGCTTCTGAAATCTAAGGAGACAGCGCAGGGCGGGCAGGCAGCTGAAGGCCCTGCTGGGGCATCGCCACGGCTCATTCCTTCTCCGCCTCTCCTTTCTTGGGCTCTTGCTTCAGTTTGTAATCAGCCAGGGCGGCCTTGATGGCGTCTTCAGCCAGCACTGGAAGGACAGGAAGGAGAGAGCCTGAGTTTCTAGACAGAAACAGTCTTAGGAGGGAATTTCTAAGAGGTGAGGGCAGTGCTTGTTGGGCAGGGCTTCATGGTTACCCAGGTTCATTTCCGAGTCTGTGGATCGACTTTCTTTTCTGTAAAACCTGACAATCCCGCTTTTCTTGCTGGGACTGTGTGAGGACTTACTATGTGGCTGGCACACAGTAGGGACACAACAAATACTCGTTCTCATCTGCTCCCAGGAGAGATTGAAGTGAATGTAGTGGGTGCTGGTTAAGCTAGCTGGCATAACTTAGGTCATGTCATTTGTGGATAGGATGGTGTCGGCCACATTACTCTCTAGTGATCTTAAACTTGGACACTTACTTAGGAGTGAGGCTGTGGAGGAAAAGAAAAATCGAGAGGGCTGGAATGAGAGCCTCAGCTCAGGTCTCAGGACCCGAGAAGCCGGAAGAAACATCTTGAAAATGTTTACAAGCTGTGCCCTTTATTCACGGCTACATAAAATTCCAACTCAAGTGGAAAGAACTTGGGTCTCAGCAGACTTCCTGAAGACTGCATCTGCGTGTCCCTGTCCCAGCTCTCGGCTCTCCTGGCAAAAGGTCCAACTCTCTGCTGGTGTTTAACTAATTTGGTCAGTAAACCCCATCAATCTGTTAGGAATGCGGTTTCTCATTCCCTCCTTTCCCAACAAGGTTGAGAGAAGAGGGAAATAGCTTTAAATGTAAGTCAGAGACTGAGCTGGAAAGCCAAGCCTCGGTCTTAAGTCATCTGGGCTTAGTCATCCCATAGACACAGATACAGAGCAACGAATGTGCACAGGAAGTGAGGAAATACACACGAGCGGGTTATGTGGAAGCTGAATTTTCTCCTGTGGCCCTTACTTTCCTGCAAGGGCGGGCAAGGGGGGGAGAGGGGGGAACAGCACAGATTCTGGAATCAGAGACCGGGCTGTAGATTCTGGCTTTCTCACTTAAGAGGCGTGTGACTGGTGCTTTCACCTGAATCCGTTCCCTCATCGTAAGGGGAGAGGAAACGGCACTTCTGTGGCCTGGGGGACGTCGCTGAGGTTTACAAAGGATGCTATGGAGTGCTCAGCAGGAGGCCTGGCTCACACCACCTCCCAGAGGCTGTCCTGGCGATGGCTGAGGCCGGGCTTGAGCCCTGGAGAGGTTACAGACGGACTCCATGACCACAAAGGACCCGTCATTACTCTGTCACAAATGCAAGTTGACTCCATTACCAAATTCCTCCCCAGTGTCCGGGCACTGGCCTTCAGGGGCAGAGACTTACTGGAGCAGTGCAGCTTCACGGGGGGCAGGCACAGCTCCTTGGCGATGTCTGTGTTCTTGATGGTCAAGGCTTCCTCCACCTGAGGCACATGGGAAAGACACGCGGTACTGTCAGCGATGCTGTCTAGAGGGACAGACAATACCCTGGGAGGTCCCAGAGGCCCTCAGGACAGGGTGAATGGGGGTGGTTGCCATTACTAACGCCAAGCAAAGGACCTTCTCAGGACCCCACCTGGGTGTCAAGGCTGCAGGTGGGATTCTGGGGTAGGAAGTGAGCACAGTGGGGGGCTGGGGTGAGCAGGGCCAGCACAGACACTCTAGGAGCTGAAGAGAACCTGTGAGAAGTCTCTTAGGAATCAGACTTGCTGGAGGCCAGAAACACGAGTCTTTTTCTTTAAAAGGCAGTGACTTCCTATGCTGGTTTTGTGAATATCAGCTTCTCCGATATCCTTGTACCAAATGTTTAGAATAAGGCCCTTCAACTAGCAGTGCTGATGGCACTAGGCGGTCGGAGGGACGGACAGGCAGTGCCACAGGTGGGTCCTGGGCTAGGAGCTCTCTTTAGGCTCATCCTCTGCTGAAAGGAGATCAGCTCCGCCTGCTTGGGGCTTGGTGCAGAGTCCGAGGGCAGAACAAGAGGCAGGTGGCTCCCTGCCCACCTGGAACAGCCCCAGCAGCTTAAGGAAAGCCAGCTGCCCCACCTGTCCCCTAACTTCCAATGCCACTCATTCTACTCAATTATGACGTAAGTTCTGTTCCTGGGAACTCAGATGGGAGGATGTCAAGGTCAAAGAAAGGTCCTCCCCCCCATTTTCTGACCACAACTCACAGGTCCTGGGAGCACAGGTGCGTCTCCTCTTCCCCCCTTTCCCTGCAGACAACTGGTGACAAATCACCGCAGAGCCACCTCCTGCCAGTCAGGCCAGGCCTGGGCCTCCTTGGCCCAAAGGAGCTTGCCAGCCAGAAGGCCTCAAGCCACGGAAAGCAGGTGGTGTGTGGTGCGGCATATGCTTTGCTGTTGAGCTGCCCAGCTCCCCGAGCGCACTTCTCTTTAACCCTGAACTTGGTCCCTCAGGGCTATAAGGATGAGCAGCCTGCGGGTTAGCTTTTCTGAGAGGGTTGAATGACTAGATTTTAGAAAGTCCAGTTCTTTACTGGGACTGGGACCTTCTACTTCTGCAGCTGCTGGGGAGAGAGGCGCTGGCAGAGAAAAGGATGGAAAAGATGTTCCCGCTTTTCTCCACTCGGAGGGCCTGCAGCCAGCCACCTGGGTCACTGTTTTGATTAGCTTGCTCACCCTGCCCCTCCCCTCGATGTGTGTGTGGTTCTTCAATCCCTCTGTTAATACAGGTCGGTTTGTTATTCCATGAATCCTTAAAAGCCACCTGCAGTCCTTCCCGCAACAGGATGGGAGGACATAAACAAGAAAACAAACCACTACACAACACTCCCTGACCTGACCAGCAGTCCTAAGAAATTACACCACCAACAGCCTGGAGAAAGCTAAGGTTTCTTTTAAGCTCTATCTTGTTAGATGGAGAGGTGAGGATCTTTTTTCTATTTAACTAGAAAGAAAACATCACAGGAAATCCCAAATGAAAATAATCAACAACAACGACGACAAAAAACCCAAACTAAAAAACACTTAAAACAAGCCACTGTTCTCAATGTGGAGAATTTAATAAAAATCTGGGTAAGAGAAATTAAAAAGAAATTTAAAAAAATTATCAGAATGTATTTTTTTTTAAAGTCAGTTATTTCTCTGCCCCCCCCCCCCTTCCCCCACTAGACCCTTCCCTTAACCGAGAGCCAAGTTTGTGGAAAACGTGACTTGATTCTGTCAGGCTTGCGAGTGACCTTACCGTCTTTCCTTTCACCCATTCGGTGGCCAGCGAGCTGGAGGCGATGGCGGAGCCACAGCCAAATGTTTTGAACCTGGCGTCCACGATCTTCCCCTGGTCATCCACCTGGATCTAGAAGAGACAGGGTGGGGCTGTCTGTAGGAGCGCCACTCACAGGGCTTCCCGGGCTCTTCCCAAGACTTCGGCCTTGTTTTCACTAGACGTTCTGGCACTAATGATGATATTTTCTGAGTTTGCTTTGTCTTGAAGAGCTCAGGGATGAAGAGTTAAACACAGACAATCGTATAGATCTGATTAGCTAACTAATACGCCCCTCTGAAGTTCTGGTTTGTTGTTAACCCTCGTCTGCTTGTTGGCTGTGCAGTTCTGCTCGCGGCTGCTGTGTCTGTCTGCCCTGGAAACGCCTGGGCAGCCTACGCTCACGGTCTCTGGCTAATGCTTTGTTCTTGGACACCACACTGCGTCTAGTGGTCCCACCCTGCCCTGTTGCTGTTTTCTGAGTTAGGTGGGGAGACTGGCACGCTGCCCTCCCTCCGTGATGAAGCAGGTTGTGAATGAAGCTACGGTTTACCCAGCCTTCCTGTGGCCTGCAGTTTGGAGGAGGTTTGATGGACTGGATTTCTTATCTCACAGGGGATGGCTAGCTCAACGGCTGTGGTTTTCCTTTGGTAAAACTCACAGAACCGTTTACTTAACTGACGGTGGAATTTAAGCTGATTCAGTGAGCAGCTCAGGGTGATCAGCTGATTGTATTGGAAAGGGTCAGCACAGTGAACCAGCAGGAGGGCTAGGACAGGCTCTGCTCCGATCACCTGCAACCCGCCTCATCCAATCGGAGACCCAAGGAGATGTATGCAAGTGCTGGGTGAACTATGAAGCCAACATTCCCATTCCCGATGAAACCGGCTGTACCTGTAATTTCATCACATCGCCACACGCTGGAGCCCCCACCAATCCAGTCCCAACATTTTTAGATGTCTTGTCAAGAGACCCCACGTTCCTGGGATTTTCATAATGATCGACAACCTGAAATGAGAGTCAAGAGAAATCACGATCACTCTTTTTTGGTCTTAATTTAATGGCCAGCACCAAGTCAGCAACCTGAATTTGGCAGGCAATCACTAAATGCCAAACGAGAACCATTTGTGACCCAAAGTCTTTTTGCATCTCCTTTCCAATGACCTTCAGAGGTTTGTGATACTGGAGGAAAACCATGTTTTCCTTCCGCAGGCTTTTAACCACCTGTAACTATTGGACCTTCAACCACCTGAAGGGCCAGCTTGAGCTCCAATGGCATTTTTGTTATTTCCAAATACAGTTTCTTCTTGAAGGATGATGATTATTCAAAAGTTCTAAAAGTAACTATGAGCCATAAATTGAAGGCTTTCCCAGAAGCCTCGAGGAGACTGCTACAGGGAAACCATGCTGTGAAACGTGTCCGAGTGGGCGCGATTATAAAAATCACTGTCCCATCACTAGTTCCGGGCCCTGAAACCTCCCCTGGGCAGCAGCGCACCCCGGTGGCCAGAAGGCTGCCAGCCCCAATCTATCCAGCGGGCACTGTCAACAAGACACACCCCTGGGTGGGGGAGGAGCCAAGTCCTGGGCGACTAGGAAGCCAGAATAAATGTTTATTCAGACTGGCACACGGAAGGTTCTAGTAACATTGAGATTTATTATTATTATTATTATTTTTTTTACCAGTGTACGGATCGACCGGCTCCCCTCCCCCCACTGTTCCGACGAGGATGTCGACTACAAGCCCAAGGACCTACAAGGTAACATCCAATCTGTACCGTTTGTCCCCAAGTTGAATTACCACATCCTTTAGTTAGTTGTGCGCCACTCAGTCTCCTGTCCAAGGGACTTAACACGTCTCTTCCCTCCCCTTTCCCCCCCTCCCCCTCCTACCCAAGGCAAGGGCTGCAAATTACACACCCATCCCTATGCCCCGCCCCAAACAAAACATGAAAACAAACACGTGACGGTGCACGGGCCCCACCCGGAGGCTCTGAGCTCCTACAAGAGCCGCCACAGCGGCACCTAAAAGGTCTCTCTGTGCCGGGCGCCCTGCCGAGGCCTCCGCGAGCATCACCGTGCGTGGAGGGCTGCTCAGTTACCCACTCTACAAACGGGGCGGCAGGCTCGGCGAAGGGCAGCGACTTTCCCAAGGTCACCCGGCCAGGGCAGAGCCCCAGGAGTCAGGTCCTAACGGGACCCTCCTCCCTGGGCTCTTAGGATGGTCCAAGGGCGGGATGCATGACGGCGCGGCCAGCGGCAGGGCCCGCGGACGGTTCTTTTTATTCCACGCGCGGTCACTGCGCAGCAAGGCAGGCGGAGGCAGTGTCACGCGAGGGGGGCGATCCCTCCATCCAGGGCCGGGCGCCATCCCCACCCCGGGCCACAGCGGGGGCTCCCCCAAGCGCCGCAGAGTCCCGCGGCCACTCCTCCCCAACCTGGGCTTCTGTCCGGCACCTGCACCCGCCGGTCCCCTCGACCGTCCCCGTCCTCCCGCCCTGACCGCTGCGGACCCCGCGCACCCCCTACCTTCTTGTGATAGAGCCGGGCGGGAGCTGACAGCTCCCGGGCCGGCAGGCGCGGGGTCTGGAGCAGCAGGACTGACGCAGCGCGTCTCAGGCGACCCGCTCCAGTCGCCGCCATCTTGCCGGCTTGCACCTGCGTAGTCCGAGCGCGAGGCTGAGGGGCGGGGCGCGCCCGTATGACGTCACCGCGATTGCGTGCCCGAGCCGTCACGCGCCGGGCACGTGTCCCGCACGTGGGCCACGCCCCTCGGGGAGGCGGGGCGCGGGGCGGAGCGGGAGGTCTGACCGGCAGGAGGGCTTGTCCTCGGTGCTGGTCCTGGGTGTGCGAGGGTCTCGGGGTGGAGTGCGGGACTCGCGTGGACGTCCACCGAGACCACCGCCCGAATGCGGCGCAGAGGGCCGCCCAGCCCGTCTTTCTTACCCCTAATGTGCAGCTAGCTGAGGGCTTTTCGGTTCCGAGCCGTTTAGTAACGTATCCAGGGTTGCTCAGAGAGTTAAGTGCACTTGGGATTCAGATTCAGACAAACCGAGTTAGAACCCAGGCTTTGCTCCTCTCTGGTTGTGTGACCTTAGGGCGGCAAGTGATATTAGCTCTCTACGCCTCGATCTTTTGTAACATGTAATCCAAGGACAATTTTTTCACTCATGGTCAAACACCTCCTATGAGTCAAGGCGCTATTCGAGGCTTTGGGAATCTAACGGAAAGGAAATCAGACCTGCCTCATTAAACTTACTGGTGAAGGAAAAAGGCAATCAGTAAACACACCAAATACTCCCCTACCTCAAAATGGGAAGCTTAATGAAGAAGGAAACGAACACCCTGTCCTGATTTTTTTTTTAAAAATTATATGTCTATGTGATCTATTTCTGTATAAACAACAGTAAACTCATATGACAATATCTGGCAATTGAGAGTTTCTAATTAAATGCCTAGTGATGGAATTTATTAATGTTGGTGTGCAGAAAAAGATCTTATAAAATGAGAAAACTCACGTGTGTCTTTAACGCCTACATAAAGGGGGAAGAATCTTTTTGGGAAATGTGGTTTTCTCATGAATGGTGCATTCGATCCCCGAGGACTTGGGGTTTTTTTCTCTGCGTTTGAGGGTCGCTCAGCTGGTGGGGACACTTGAACCAGCGCCAGGTCACACTAGGCAGTAGGGTATTTATTCCCGGATCACTTTGACCTTCTCAAGATGGCGCCAAAGCATTAACTACAGTCATCACGCTCGCTCCCGGACTTCCTCTAATGGCTCTACTTCCTGTCCAAGGACCACAATCTGTCCGGAGTTGAGTCGGAACACATGCCGTGTTGCGGGGTTGTTTTTTTTCTCAAGAGAACTTTCACAAGTGTATTAAAGTAATATAATTTCGTGTATTCAGAGATTTTCCCGTCACCTGAAGCTCACATTTTCCTTTCAGGCGGCAAGACAGCGAGGTTTCTGGTCAGGCGCGCGCCGCGGACAGCCCCTACCTCAGGGGGGTCCTCGGCGGCCCCGGGAAAACCCGGGAGTCGCTGGAAGCGCAAGATGGCGACAGCGGCCGCGGCATCGGCTGCTGAACTGGAGGCTGATCCCAAGGCGGGGCCCGAGGCTGAGGGCGAGGAGGACGAGGCGAAGGCGGACGGGACCAGGAGGAAGGTGTTCACGCGCGCTGTTGCCACCGCGACCTACAAGTCCATGGGGCCGGCGTGGGACCAGCACCAGCAGCGGGAGGAAGGCGTGAGCGAGAGCGATGGGGATGAGGAGTTCGCCATGGCCTCCTCGGCGGAGAGCTCCCCCGGCGACGACGAGTGGGAGTACGACGAAGAGGAGGAGAAGACCCAGCTGGAGATTGAGCGGCTGGAGGAGCAGGTACGCTCGGGGGCGGGCAGCGGGGTCCCCCTCTCCCCCAGGTTCCCAGGCCTCACCCTCCTCCCGGGCCCGGAGCGGCAGTGAAGCCGCCGGGTCCGCAAACCCGCTATTCGCCGCCGTAGCTCCCGGCGTTTGGGGCGCTCGCCTGGGGCTGTTACCCCATTGCGTCCCCACAACGACCCAGGGAGGCGGTAGTGTGTCCCCCGATTTACCGAGGAAACGGAGGCTGTCGGTGGGGGGAATTCTCTGGCTCAAGGTTACACTTCCTGCAGGTGGGGAGTCAGGTCTTGCACTTGCAACCGACTCCACACCTCCCACTCCTAACCACGCCGGGAAGCTGTGCCCAGCAGCCGACATGCGGTTCTCTTCGCCAGGGAGCTAGTTCCCTGTAGGAACGGCGATGTTGACCTTGAGGACGATCATAGACATGGAAAGGTAGGGATTTCAGCGTCTGGAGGCGAAGGCCCCAGCTGTAGGAGGTCCCCAGCCGTGTGTGCTCGGCCGGGTTTCTGCTGTCTTTGAGCCTCAGCTTCCTCGTCTGTAAATTGGGCGCACACTTCCGCGTCGTGTAATTGCCATAGCAGCAACGACAGTCAGCTGTCTGGCACCTCCTAGGAACGTGATCTCTATAGAACCCGTTAACTCCGGTGTAATCCAGCAGGAGGTTTACATTAGGATAGTTTGGGGGAAGGTTAATAAAGGGATTGCCGAGTTGGTAAAGGGCGAGCCGGGAAACGGGGAGGGGAGGTTAGAATCCCAGGGCTAGTCACAGCAGGACCTGTGTCCGTCTCAAGGCCTGGAGAGGGGAGGGGGCGGGACACCGGTATTTTGAAAGGTGGTGTGGATAGGGCGCCTGAAGGGAGCCAAGGCCTTTGGTCAAGGGGTGCAGCCCTGGTTTCCAATCAGAGGAATGCCCTGGCCCAGCTCTCTGCCTCGCATCTGTTGGCGCCTGCTGCTGGGCACACCCTGCTGGAAGAGAGAACCAGAGACCCATCTGTGTGGTCTATGCGGAGGTAGTAGGGGGTGATGCTGTGAATCTGAGCACATTCTTTCTCACGTGCAAGCTATTTCAGTCTCAGAGCCTCTGGCGTCCCAGTTGGTCAAAGGAGGGTTGTTGTAGTGTCCCCACCTCCCCACACGCAGGACTGTTGTGGACCTTAAGTGACTCAGTGTGTGTAAAACTGCTGACGGGGTTTGACACATAGTAGATGCCATCCCAGGCCTGCTCCTTTCTCCGTTCCCTGCCTTTCCCCTGGGTAGCACGTGTCCTTTCACAGGCCTGTTACTGCTCCACCCCCTCCCCGGGGCCAGTATGTGCCGTTAGGGAGTTAGGAAATTAGATCACTGCGCTGGCTAATGAAGTTCTGAGACCGGAAGAGACCAGAGTGTGTACTCACTTGTCGGTGCTGAGTGAGCTCTGAGAAAATGTCTTTTATAAATGCAGTTCACGCACAGACTTTCAGAGCATTTCCTGTATGTGCTGTCGTCATTGTTTGGACCTAGAAATCAGACATTTAGACCAGAAACCATCTTAGAGGCAATTCCTGTACTTTGTGTCTTTTAAACCTTTTGTTCTGAATTGCGCTCAAGTGAGGGACATTTGCACAGGTATTCATTCATTCCTCACACTAGCCGGTAAGCACGCTCCCACCTCTCCATGCTCAGAAAACACATTCAGACCCAGGTAACTGTGAGTTGGGGTGGACAGGGAGAGCCTAGGGTGTTCTTTAGTGAGGAAAGCACATTTCACAAACGTCACTTTTTAAACTCTTGTTACTTGTGTGCCACACTTGACAGTCAGCTTTGATTCGTCAGTGTCATGTCCTGGCCTGGTCCACCCTTTCCAACCATCACACAGTCATGGGACGTGTCCAGCTTGTCCAGCTTTATAATCACGCGTAAGAGAACCTTGCTAGTAGTTTTTTAAGGTTTTTGAAAGAATTAGGTCATATTCTTACTTCTTGTTGATTCTTCTTTATCTTTTATGTGAATTGATACATACAAGCACAGTTCACATCTGTAAACGATACCGTATGGTAATCAAATGAGCACCACCTACCCCGCACTCATCCGCGGGTTAGAGCTGCATGGACACTGCTGCGTGGGTCTGTGGGCGTCTCCCCCTCCCAGTCCTGCCTGCCCCTTCTCCCTCCCCCCTCCTAAAACCCAGGTGACTACCTTCTTGAATCTTGGGCGTTTCCTTCTCTTGGAAAACAAACAGTTTCATCACGCAGGTATGCATCCTTAAGCAATGTGCTGTCCTCTTTTGTTTGTTCTGAGCTTTTAAAAAAGTACGTCGTGTTATAATCTCCTGGGACTGCTTTCCACCCGCAGTGGGTTTCTAAGATTCGTCCACGTTACTTGTCATTGCCGTTTATTCATTTTGACAACCGTTAGATCAGTTCTAGCATTTGGATTGCTATAGTAGTTCCCCCCCCTTGGCCCTCCATTACAAACAGGCTACAGCAAAGCATTGTTTCTGTTGATCTGTGCTCCTGTTGAATATGTATCAGAGTTTCTCTGCATTGGTGTTTTTCAATTTATTTGCATTTATTTTTTTTGCATCGGTGTTTTTCAAACTGGGCTTGTGGCCATGGATCAAGAATTCAGTTTATTTGACTTTCCTGGTATTTATGTTTTACCACTGAGTGAGGTGTGGAAGTTTGCCTTCCATTTTTGCTCTTTTGCCATCCCTGCTTTTTAAATATCATTGTTTCAGATTTTGGATAGTCTTAAAACGTTTGCTATTACATACAATTTAGAAAACACATAAGGAGAAGGATAACTTACACTTAGCCACTTTTCTGCTCTTTCTTGTTGTTCTTTCTCCTTGATGCCAAGATTTCTTTAATCATTCCCTTCCTGTTTGAAGAACTTCCAGTAGCTATTCTTTAAGCGTGTCAGATAGTAACACATTCTTATAGTTTCCTTTTGTCTCAAATGCATGATAGCTTTTTAAGCACTTACCTTAATTTATTGTTTTAATTTTTAGTTTGAAAAGTTTCAGGTACAGAAATAGATCTTTATGTGCTTATTACTTAGCTTCAACAGTTATCAATCTGTTGTTCTTATTTCTTCCAGTAGGGGTCTTTTATCTTTTATTTAGTAGTAGAAAAGAGATTACCTATGTACCTGGCATATGCTAAAGCACATTACTAAATTATGTTTAAAATCTTCACAACCTCTGGGTCAGAAAACAGTGATTTCCCACTAAAAGGTGAGGAAATGGAGGCTTAGTAAAGTTAATAACATATCTAAGGCCACCCTGTAATTTGTTTCATTGGAATGTTTCCTGTGTTTCAGAGAAAACAAGTGTGTGCTGACGGGAAATGCGACGGACTTGAGGGAACTTTCTGGTTGTTATAAAAAGCCGCTTGTATTGCTCTTTTCCTTCCTTTTCCGTAGGATAAAGGTTTCATTTGTGTCAGAGGCCCTCCCTGATAGTGCATGTATTTTGTCTGTGACCTGTGTGTGCATCGTCACCAATGGTAAAAAAAGCTAAGCTGTTTTGGTGACGGCATTTTAAATTTCACCTGCGGTCTCTTTCCCTTCCAGCTGTCTATCAACGTCTACGACTACAACTGCCACTTGGACCTGGTCCGGCTGCTGCGGCTGGAAGGGGAGCTCACCAAACTGAGGGGGGCCCGCCAGAAGATGAGCGAGATCTTCCCCCTGACAGAAGGTAACCCCTCACCGGCCAGGCTGCCTCTGTAGACACCAAATTGGCAAACCACTGAGTGCCCGGCAGCTGTAGGACATTACCATTTTAGTGATTTGATCTTACCTGGGCCCATACACTTCTGTGCTTGGTGCAGGCTTTACGAATTGAGTTTTGTGACCTGGCCGGGTTGTGTGAGATGATGAAACACTCACCTGCTGGTGACTCACCGTACGTGGCTGCTGTACGGGGAGGGGGTAACGCAGGAGGTGTTGTCTTACAGAGCTCTGGCTGGAGTGGCTGCACGACGAGATCAGCATGGCCGGGGACAGCCGGGACAGGGAGCACGTGTACGACCTGTTTGAGAGAGCCGTGAAGGATTACATATGTAAGTAACATGGCGCCCCCTGTGCCACCTGCAGCAGCCTCTGCTGTCTGGGTCGTGTTGTGCGATGCTGCTGTCCAGCAGACAGCATGCGTCTGGCAATTAGGAAGACTGAGTTCAGCTGTTACTGTTGTCTATATATGGTTTTCAGTTGGAGACACTTGGTTTTAAGACATAGGTAGGCATACCTCACTGTATTGCACTTAGCTTTATTGCATCTCACAGAAGCTATTTTTTTGTTTGTTACAAAGTGAAAGTTTGTGGCAACCCTATGTATCAGCACCATTTTCACCAACAGTCTCAGATGAGCGTTAGCATTTTTTAACAATAAAGTTTAAAAAAATTAAGGTATGTGCATTCTTTAAGACATACTGCGATTGCACACTTAATAGACTACAGTATAGTGTAAAAGTAACTTTTGCATGCACTGGGAAACCAAAAAATGTGTGTCACTGGCTTTGTTTCGATATTTGCTTCATTGTGGGGGGTCTGGAATCGAACCTGCGAATTTGAGGTCTGCCTGTACAAATAGAAGAAATATTTAAGTAAGTGGATGGATATACTCACACCCAGCATTTATCTGGCAGGAAGAATTTACATGGTACTAGTTCCAGATGGCTAAAGGTCACCTTTTACATATTGATTAGGTTTTTAGAAGTCTTGGACAGAATTTTTATTTTTCATATTAAAAACCTTAAAATTTCGTATTTTGAAAAATCCTGTATTTATAGGAAATTGCAAAAGTAGCGCAGAGAAGTCCTATGTACTTATTTCGTCCAGTTTCCCCCAGTATCTTATAATAGTATGATAGTACAAAATCAAAACCAGGAAGTTGACCTTGGTGCATTGTGTGTGTGGTTCTGTGGATTTTATCCGTGTAGCTTCCCGTAGCCACCACTGCGTCCGAGGTACCAACCCTCCCCCACCACAGAACTGGTCTGGTGCTGACAGTTCAGTGCAACGGAATGTGGGTGCCTGACTTCCTCTTAAGTCCCTCTACCCTCCCTCTTGATGGTTAATTCTCTAAATATTGTCTCTACATACATTGGGGAGCACATTAGTGCTGTAGACAAAATGCTTTAAAAAGCATTAAACATTCTCCCCCTCCCCTCGCCTCTCTAATTAAGCCCTTCTTCCCCATCTGCTTTTCCTGTCTCCACTCTGGGCATTCCCCTTGAGAGCAGTGTCAGCACTTAGCAGGTAAACTGCCCGGAGGGAGAGGATTTTTTGTGTACCTTTACCAGCCAAGAAGAATATAAACTTTACTTTTCATAATTCAAATAATGAAAATACGAGGTGTTTGGTGAATATGACATTATATTGAATGTGCCTTTAAAAAGTGTCCTGTGTCTTTGTTCAGAATGTGCCGGCCCTGTGGCCTCTTAGAATCTCTGAGTTCCAAATACACGATGTTCCCTTGTTTTCTGCTGGTCCTGTTACCCCTTTCTTAACGTCTCAGGGTCATTAACAGCACCGGCTCTCTCTACAAGGACCTTTTGTCCTTCCCAGACCGCCCGTGATGGTTTTCAGTCCCCTAGGGTTTGCAGTCCTCCCTGCGGCCAGGCCTCCGTTGTCACTTAGTGCCCATGACAGCGTGCCTGCCCTCCCACCAGCTGCTCCGGGGCTGCTGTGGGTCAGGACTGGCTAACCATCTCCTTAGAGGATGTCTCCTATGCAGTTTTGAATGGGACCCCAGGGGTTCTTGTGCTATTTCTGCAAATTATCACTGGTTTTGAATGTTCAGAAGCCACTTGGCCTGCTTTTTATTTTGTTGTCCTTTCTATTTATTTTTCTATTCTTTGCGTTTTAGTTTTTAACTATGTTTTTTCATATTTGAAGATGCCTGGATGGCCTTCCGGTATCTCTCAGCAGGTACTCAGTAGTGATTGCTGGGGGTGGTCCATGCTCCTGTAGTCGGAGATGGCTGGGCCCTTTGGCTCCTCAGAGGTTTTGAAAACGAGGTTCCTGGTTCTTGGAGGAGCCTGGTGCGGAGGCGTCGTGCCTGTTTGGAAACTTGGGATCCAGTGACACCAGGGTTTTCTGAGTTAAAATGCTGTTTATAATATTTGCCCCTGTCTAGATTATTTGTTGAGAGGGGACCGTTTTGTAATCTGTTGAAAATCACCTTCTCTGAGAGGAGGAACCGTTTCACGGACCATCTGTAAACTTGACCTCCCCTCACTCAGGCCCTCACCTCCAAAGAGCTAGCTCATTTCCATTTTTATTTTGCAGCCCATCTGGCAGCTCTTTGTTGGTGCACGAAACAGAGTGGCTAAAGCTTTGGTTAAGTTCTTGAAATAAACCGACTTCATGAAAAAGCAAGCCTCGGGAAAACAGAGTCATCCTCACATTGGCTTCTGTATCTTTCTGGTATTTTTATTTCACAAAGTTAGTGCATAGGCTTCTGAAAGTATTTTCAAGTCTTTGAAAAGTACAGGCAAACCACGTATAATAAGAATTGATGCATTCATAAAGATCTTTTTACTCATTGGTCTGGTCTTAAAGTTGTGATAGTGAGTATATAAACATTTAAAAAGAGCGAAAGGAACAAAGCAACCAAGCAACCTTTTTTTTGTCATTGTTTAAAAATTATTAAAAATAGATTTTTAAAAATAGATTTCTATTAACAGTATTGCTGCTTTTAATTTTTTTCTTTCACTTCGAAAAATTTTAGGTTTTCAAATCTTTCTGAAGATTGACTCAGATTCTTAACTATTTTCATTGAAATCTATCACTGAGTTCTTTCAGTTTTAATAAATAAGCTTTGTGATCATGGTCTTTGTACATATCACCACGTGACATATACTGTTTATTCAGCAGCATCTCAACGAATATACCTGCTAGGCACATTGTTGGGTATACTTTCTTTTTAGCCTGCAGCATTAGAATAGGTGGATTGGGATGCTTATTGATGATGCTGTTACCTTTTTGCACGAATGAGGACTATTTTGGTGGGCACATTTCTTTGTTATGCCTCATTTTTGCTATTCGGGTATTTCATGTTGTGAACTAATAGAACTCTTCTCATTTTTAGGTCCAAACATTTGGCTCGAGTATGGCCAGTACTCAGTCGGTGGGATTGGTCAGAAAGGTGGCCTTGAGAAAGTCCGCTCTGTGTTTGAAAGGGCGCTCTCGTCTGTGGGTTTACATATGACCAAAGGACTGGCCATCTGGGAGGCGTACCGGGAGTTCGAAAATGCCATTGTGGAAGCTGCCCGGGTGAGTTCCCCGTCTCCGGGACCTGTGCCTGCCTTTGAATAGTCGGGCTGTCTCTGTAAGTGCTCTTGGAGGGACCTAGTTAATAAAATGGACTTCGCCAATTCCTTAGTGTGCGGGCAGGTAAATACATGAAATAAATAGTTTTTAGACTAGCAAGAGTGATTTCTTGACTGTAAAGCACATGACTCTACAATTTGTTCTCGATACTTAAAAATATTACTGTTTTAGTTACTGGTTCCAGAATAAAATACAGAAATAACCATGTCACTACCCCTTTCCCACACCTTCCCCCAAATATGTCCAGGAATTGTGAGAGATTTGACCCCATCAGAAATGCAGTTTTTAGACTGTAACTTGCAGAATTTTACCGTCCCTCCACTGCGTGTGTGTGTGTGTGTGTGGGCACACAGTTACTGATACGAAGTGAAGCCCTCTAACAAGTTGTTATTGTTAAAAGTGGCCTAGTACATTCTTGAAAAATTGGCAGTGCTGCCTTCATCTTTACCAAGATATTACCTCATGTGAAAGAGGTCATGATTTTTTTTTTTTTTTTTTTTTTTTTTTTGTTAGTTTGAACTAAAAATGTGTTGGAAAAAAATTTTAATGAAATAATTTTGAGGTAGAAAGGACCAAAGTGTATCATTTACTACAAATTTACTTCTTTAGCCCATGGCTGGCTTCCTTTCCCCTTTTGACCGGGAACAAACCTTTGATTCACAGCTGGAGAAAGTGCACAGTCTCTTCCGGCGACAGCTGGCAATCCCACTCTACGGTAAGACAAGAGCCGGCCCTTTGTGGTTTTTAAAATGCTTGGGGTATGTCATGTGATTAGGCCTTTCCCAGCATCCCAGGAGCCATATGTGGCTGATTTCCTTATTCTCACTGGACAGTGTCACTATGGACGAGTCCCTAGGTAAAATATATCTTGAATTATTAATGCTCAAGTTAGTTATGAGGGTCAGAGGCAGGAAGTCCCAGTCGTTTGGACATTGTTGGAGAGGCAGAGAGGAATAGGGAAACTGACTCCCTGTGTTTTATGGGGAAGCTGGATTGAGCAGAGTTCCTTTTGGAGCATTTTCTCTTGAGGAGTACCCCCTTCCACGAGGGTACTTACGTGGCATAAACTTGCTGAATAAACTGTATATGCCACGTGGGAGTTTACGTGGCCCTGGGCCATTCCTCGGTGAGGTGATTTGGTTCGGGATCACAAATATTCATCCCTGAATTCCCTGGGGTTTGGTAAGGATTCTCCTTTTTTGGGGAATATATTTTGGCAGGCCAAGCCTTTGAGGTTCTGGAGCTGGAGTATGAGCAGTACTGATAGGATTTTTCCAAGCACTGGAAGAGTTTGGCACTACCATCTTGTGTGTTGCCTAAACCTAGTGTACTGTGCACCCTCAGAACCCTGGATAACTTCACCTGAGCCCAGGAGTTATTTCTCATTTTACTTCACAGCTTATTTGGATTTCACTTAACAAATTATAAAGTGTCTCTCCAGTTGAATCTTTGGGTGTCATGCAGAAAAGGCTAGAATGGAACAGGCTTGTAGAGTTCATCTCATCCCAGTGTGAGGCAGCATATCATAGTGAGTAGCACGTGAACTTGAACCAGGCTGCCTGGGTTCAAATCCTTGCTCTGCCATTTCCTGTGGACAGTGCAAAATGGAGAACACAGTAGAACCCACCTCATAGACTGTGAGGATCAGATGAGTTAATGGCTACGATGACTTAGAACCTAGGAAGTGCCAGGTAAGTGTTCGCTATTAGTTTCATTCATTCTGATTGATTAATTGGTAGACTGGACTGCCTGGGCTAGTATTTTGAGACAGAGTCTAAGGCCAAACGTGAGCTCAGCAGAAGAGCTCAGGATTTGGTCAGCAAGAGCTGCTACGGCCACAGATGTGGGAGGGATTAGTAGCATTTGAATCTCATGGTTTAATCTATGTTTGGATTCTTAAGATCCAATTCCAAGACCCAAGGTGCTGAATCCATTTTCCCACAGATATGGAGGCAACGTTTGCAGAGTATGAAGAGTGGTCGGAAGACCCAGTACCGGCGTCGGTGATTCAGAGCTACCACAAAGCGCTGCAGCAGCTGGAGAAATACAAACCTTATGAGGAAGCACTGGTACGTGTGGGCTGCTTCTCAGTAAACGTCTCTCTGTAAGCTTTTCCCTGATCGGTAGTTGCAAGTAAAACAGTTTCTTTAAAATTTGTTTTATTGTGAAATATATAGAGTGTATAAATGTATATTGCAGTTTACATACTAATAATAAAGTGAACATCCATGTACCTACCACCCAGGTTAAGAAATAGAACATTGCCAGTTCCTTAGAAGTCTCCTATGTGCCCCTCTCCGATTGCCTCCTCTTCCCTCTCCCGAGGTAACCACTCTCCTGACTTTTGTGACTCTCATTCCCTTGCTTTTCTTTATAGTTTTACAACCTGTGAACGTATCCTTAATTAATATATTGCTTCAAGTTTGTTTCTTGTATATAGTGGAGTCATGCTGTATACTTTTTTATTCAAACTGATTTGGGGTTTTACTCATTGATAAGTGTAGTGACAGCCCATTTATTTTGCTATAAAGTTGTCTGTATGTAAAAATCTATCCATGTTCTTAGTTGGGTTATTTCCAGTGTCTGCTGGGAGCCACGGCGTTGCTGTGACATTGCACGTGTCTCTTGGACACGGGAAGAGGGTTTCTCTAAGTGTGCACCTAGGAATGGGACTGTTGGCCAGGTTACCAGTCTACACCTGAGATGTCTCCTTGCTTTTGTTACCTTGAATATTGCCATATTTAAATGTAGCCAGTCCATTGAGTCTGAAACTGGTGTTCTAATTTGCATTTCCCTGATTGCTAATGGGGTTGAGCATCTTTTCACATCTGTGGGCCATTCAGATTTCCTTTTTTGGTGAAGTGCTTCTGTGGTGAAAAGTGTCTTGGACACATTTTCCTTTTGGTTTGTCCTTTTTCCTTTTTTTCTAATTGATTTGTGGGGGTCCTGGAATTTAAATCTTTCTTTCGATTATAGGTATTGCAGAATCCGCGCCCACTTCTTACTTTAAAAAATGGCATTTTTTTTTTAATGGCATTTTTTCATGACCAGTCTTCATGTACATGGATTTATCATTCTCTTCCTTTTGTCTATGCTTTTGTTATGCTCAAGAAATCTCTCTGTATTCGGAAATCATTACTATACTTAGCTCTATTATTTTTTCCTGGAAGTTGATAATTTAGTGTTTTATGTTTAGGTCTCCATTTGGAGTTGAGTTGATTTTTGTGTATGGTATGAAGCAGCGTCCAATTTCATTTTCCATATGGACAACCAGTTGTTTCTGCACTCATTCTGTTAATTCTCTCTCTCTCTCCCCTCATGCATCTGCAGCCCCACATCGCCCATAGATTAGCTGTCCATGTAGGTGGGGGTCTATTTCTGGCCTCTCTCTGCCATCCACTGGTTTACATTATATCTTTTCAAAGATTTTATTTTCTAGTTTTTCTAGTTGCTCCTGGTATATAAAATGTAATTTGTTTTTATACTATTTTTTTAATCTAATATTAATAATTTATGCCCTGGTGGGTAGCTCAGTTAGTTAGGGCATCATCCTGATATACCAAGCTTATGGGTTCGATCCTCGGTCAGGGCACATACAAGAATCAACTGTGAAGCATAAGTAAGTGGAACAACAAATCCATGTTCCCCTCCCTCCTTCCCTTCCTCGCTCTCTAAAAATTAATAAGTAAAATTAAAAATAATTGATGGATTCTTTTGGATTTTCTGTGTTGACAATAGTTGTGTTTTCTTATACAATATTATCTGTAAGTGGCATTTTTTTCTCTATTGTGGTCTTAGAATACTTTTAACTTCATTTGCCTTTCTTCAAACTTAGTCTCTTGTGATCTTGTATTTCTTGTCTTTTTGTTTGATCTATAAGCATCATTGTTAATTTTGCGTCTCAGTCTAGTTTGTTTACATTTACTACATTCCTTCCTGCATCCTAGTTTTTTCATCTGGAATCACTTTTCTGTTAACCTGAAGTCTATCCTTTAGACTCTCGCACACTGGACATTTGCTTGTAACGGATTTTCTTGGTTTTTGTTTGTTTGGAAAAGTTTGTTGCTCTCCTTGAAAGTTCATTTCTCAGGATATAGAATTCTAGACTGACAGTTGTGTTCTCTCAGCAGTTAAATACGTCTTTCTGTCTTTTGGCTTCTGTTGTTGAGAAGTCAGCTGTCTAACTCTTGCTTCTTGAAGGTAACCCTTATTTTTTCTCTGGTTGGTTTTACTGTCTCACTGGTTTGTGTGATGTCCTGCAATTTCATTGTCATAGGTCCAGCGTGAATATCTTTGTATTTATCCTGCTTGTGGTTTGTTGGGCTTCTTAGCTTTGATTTTGGTCTCTCTCATGGCCTGAAGAATACAGATACTGAGAGCCAGGCTGCCTCCAGTTTGAATTTTAGCTCTGCCACTTAGCAGCTCTGATTTGGGGCTCGTACTTAGCCTCCTTGTATTTCATTTGCCTTGAAATATAGGGATAGTAATGATACCTGCCTCATAGGATTGTTGTGAAGATAAAAAATATTTCTTAGGCCTGCAAAAGCTTAACCTTCACTCAACCACCTTCACTTAGATCTTGTCGTTAACAAGCTTTTTTTAAACCTGTTTGTTGATGATTTTCAGGATGTTTTTCATATTTAGTCCAGCAGTTTTAGTAGTTTTCAATGGCACAGTGTCTGGGTCACTAGTATGACATTATCACTAGGAACTGCAGCTCTAAGATGGCTTCTTTCTATGTTTAGAACATGTGTGCTCTCTCGCTGGTCTGCATGTGCTTCCTCTTTTTTACATGTAAATGATTTGTATGTAATTTATTTCACAAAACTTCATCAATGACAGCTTCAGTCAGTTCAGTTTTGTTTTCACTATCAGCAGAGTGTGGCTGAAAAAAACACAAGTCAACTAAGAGGGTTTTGTTCAAAAAGATTTTTGATTGGGTCAGTAGACATTCAGTGTAGCCTCTTCCATCTTCTGCACGTACCTGTGCTTGGCAGGAGCTGATATTTGGAATGAGAAACCTGAACTATCAATAGCACAGGGCACCGGATTGCCCCAGTGTGGTTCTTTCTGCCCTCCGCTCAGCAGGCCATGACAACTACTGTTTTGGAAGGATGACTTGTATTGGTCATTGGCAAAGGTGTTTCTCTTTCATTCTGTTCCCGACTTAAATGCCCTGTAGTCCAGGGATGGATCTAGAAACGAGTTTAAGGAGCTTTTGTAGCTAATGCGGTGACGGGGTGCTTTTGTAGAGGTTCTGCAAGGGGATTGGTGGTTCTTGGGGTAGCCAGTCTCACCAGAGATGAATGTGAAGATGAGTTTGCTTCCTGACAGTGGCAAGCAGCTCATTTCATCTCCTTTGCCGTTCTCCTTTGTCCAGTTGGAGGCAGAGGCTCCCCGGCTGGCCGAATATCAAGCATACATCGATTTTGAGATGAAAATCGGCGATCCTGCTCGCATTCAGTTGATCTTTGAGCGTGCCCTGGTTGAGAACTGCCTGGTGCCAGACTTGTGGATCCGTTACAGTCAGTACCTAGTAAGATACCTATTCCGATTTCATTTTACTTGTACCAATTTAGAATCTATCTAAAGAAAACCAGTAAGAGTGCTCGGAGTTAGTTGTATGCCGCTCATCACTGCTGGTCCTCATTTTTCCTTCATCCTCCCTTCTTTGTCAGCTCATTTAGGAAGTCCTCCTAGTGTGTTAGGATTACATAGTCTCACTATTGAAGACTTTATCACAGATCAAATTTTTAAAAAATTTAACCTTTTATTATGGAAAAATGCAATCACATAAATGTAGACAGATTAGTAAACTGCAACATTATGTACCCATCACCAGTTTCAACAATGATCTAATGGCATTAATGTAGTTTCATCTGTATCCTTATCTACTTTCCCATTCCAAATTATTTTACATTAAATCCAGAAATCACGTTTCCTTGGCAAATATTTCAGTATATATGAATAACAGATTTGAATCAGGATCCAAACAAGCTCCATACATTATGGTTGGACATTTAATCTGTAGGTCGCTCTTTCCACCTCTCTTCTCTTTCACTCCCTTTGCGATTTCTTTGGAAAGAGACATTTCTAAGGAAATTCCTTTTGTCCTTTGGTGGCTCTGGAAATGTCTCATGGGTGGTGCACTTTTAACGGTGAATTTTTATCTCCTAACTCTGGACTTCTTTGTCACAGGACCGGCAGCTGAAAGTCAAGGACTTGGTTTTATCCGTACACAGTCGTGCCGTCAGAAACTGCCCCTGGACGGTGGCCCTGTGGAGTCGGTACCTCTTGGCCCTGGAAAGACATGGAGTTGACCATCAAGTGATCTCTGGTGCGAATGTTTCCTTTGAAAACCTTCAAAGCTTTTTGTCTCAAGTCAGGAGCTCAGTTCTCAGGAAGTCAGTGAGTCAGCCTCCCCAGCCTGTTCCTTTGCGAGAGTGGGGAGTAGTGACAAAAGCGCTCTTAGGTGGGAGGTAAACTGGTTGTTTTTTGACGTCTTAGAGCTTTTTAGCATGCTAATGCTTATTGTGATCTTCCTGGAGTCTTTTCTCCAAACGGACTTGACCTGGAACTCTTACTGCTTTTTCTAGAACACAGTGTGTGCCTTGTTGCATAGCTCTCCTTTGGGACATTTCTTTCTAGCGCATTGCATCTTACTGAGATGTTGAATTATTTAGTACTTTATAGTCAGGAAAGGTTTTTATAATAATCTTGGTAACTGTATATTGGTTTCTTTTTTAATCGGCCACAAACCCTCTCTTTTTCTTCACCTGCAGGGACCTTCGAGAAAGCTTTGAGTGCTGGCTTCATTCAGGCCACCGACTATGTGGAGATCTGGCAGGCATACCTTGACTACCTGAGGAGAAGGGTTGATTTCAAACAAGGTATTTAAGTTCATGTGCTTTATAGCAGAACTGTTTTTCCTTAACATATCTTTTGGTGAGATGTTCTAGTTGCCCCAATACATTGTGATTGGGCAAATGTTACAGACCAGCCATTGGTAAACCCCCACTCCCAAAGTTTTAGTGGCTTAAGCCTTTAACAAGTCATGCTGTGGATTGTAAAGGAAGGGAGTAATGGTCCTTGTTTTATGCTGGCTCCTGCTAGCTTCTTCTGTCTCATTTTTATTTTCCTCTTCTCTCCCTTCTATGTGTCCGAAATAGTTCTCTAAGTAAGACTGCTGTGTTTCTATTAAATCTTTAAACCTCTGCAGGACTCCCTTTTCTCCTTTCCCCTCAAAAAGAATAGCAGCCAGAACCCTCATCTAACTTGTTTTTGCACGTGACCTTGAGCCGTTCTGCTGGCTGGGGAGACCCCACATGGCACCCTGTACCAGTGCTCACTATTGTTGTTATACTGCCTGTGCTGTGCTCCGCTCCAGTGTGTCTTGCCCTCTGTGTGATGAGGGCAGGGGCTGGCAATTTCACTCTGTGCCCCCAGCACGATGCCAGGTGCATAAACGGGCCCTGGGAGTTTCATTGTGCGATAAAAAGACAGGCGTGGCATGTGTTCTCATGAAGCCAGACCTCTTTTGCTTCCAGACTCCAGTAAAGAGCTGGAGGAGTTGCGGTCCGCCTTCACCCGTGCTTTGGAGTATCTGCAACAGGAGGTGGAAGAACGTGAGTGTGGCCCCGACCCCTCCTTTGTCCAGTTGTATTTCTTGCTCCGGGCTGAGGTGCCTTTTCAGGCAAAGGCTCTTGGTCTCTAAGCTACTTTCTAATTTTGATTAATTCTGTTTTTAAAGGTTTCAATGAGAGTGGGGATCCAAGCTGCATGATCATGCAGAACTGGGCCAGGATCGAGGTAAATGTTTCTTGACAAATCCATCGGTTCCATCCGCCTTTGAAGGGCCTTGGTCTGCTAGTGTGGCTGAAGCTGAGTCAGAATCCCAGCTGATGGTCTAGGCTCTGTAGGGACCTGTGCTGTTTACCTAGCTTTGTGCACATTGGTTTATATCTTAGTGCAAATATTAGCTCCCAGGAAGAAGGTGTGCAGCTAGGTCTGAACGCCAGGCGTTCACTCATGTACTTCTCTCCCTTGCCCAGTGTCCCATTCATGAGAGTTTTCAGGTGGGTGCTGTTTGCCCAGGCACTCGACTGGGTGCTGGGGAGATGAGGTAGACATGGTTCCCTGCGCTGGTAAGATTTAATCTAGTGTGGAAGGCAGGCGATGTGACAGATAATCACAGGATAGCAAGAGTTGAGTTACTGGACCATGGACCCCAAGTGGAGTAGGACACAGGTCCTGCCCTTGATCATCATCATAGAATTGTAGAATTCCAGTGTTTTATTCTCTGAGGGAGTCAGGCCAGAGAAATGCCGGGTAGTTTCTGGATGGGTGTTTGTGTTGTCATTTTCAAGCTGAGGCACCTGAGGTTCAGAGAGGTTAAGCAATTTGCCCCAGTCACTTAGTAAATGGGGGAGTTGGTACTTGCTTATAGATCAGACTTTCTCTACACGGCCTCTCCAATTAACCCTTATAGTTAAGTTTGATAAAAATAAAAAACAAGCGACCAGTCGGTACTGCTGTAGTGCCCACGGGCTCACACTCTGAGGCCTAGGCAGACACTGGGCTGTCACTGCAGAAAGGCTGACGTGGTTGGCCTGGCCCTGTGACCATGGAGGGCGGCTTAGGGAATGCCAGGGACTATGCCAGTGATAGGGGACGGCTTTTCAGGCAGATCCGTCTGAAGTCTGTTTGGAAGGGGTGTTGGTGTCATGCGGTTCAGGTGCTTTCCTAACTGGGCCTTGTCATGCATCTTAGGCTCGGCTGTGTAATAACATGCAGAAGGCTCGGGAGCTCTGGGACAGCATCATGACCAAAGGAAACGCCAAGTACGCCAACATGTGGCTTGAGTATTACAGCCTGGAAAGGTAACGGACGGGGCGGGGTGGCGGTGCGCTGTCAGGGGTAACTTGTATTCAGTCTTGGCTGGCACCAGCTGGCACCGGCTGGCTTGGGCTTGCTCTTTGCAGTGGGCCACCACCAACTTTCACCTCTCTCTCTAGTGGGCCGGGCTAGAGAACTAGCATAGTATTTTGTGTCTGTGCTATTACAGCTAGGTGTTTCTTTTAAATTTTTTTTTTTTGGGGGGGGGGGCTGGTTTGATTTTTGGACATATTTTGACTTTTTGGGGAGCTATTTATTCTTATTATATTTGCTTTGTATAAAAGGTGTAAAATACTAAAAAGCACAAAAGAAAAAACCCCCAAACTATTAACAATTATGGACCCATTAGTTAATTGTTTGGGTATATTCTTCGAGACTTTTCTGTTTAAAAAAGGAAAATGCAATTGTAATGCACCTGTTACAAAGCTCTAAAATGACTTTACATAAATAAGGTATGCCCAGTAATATTGATAACGTGGGGAAGACATAAAGAATATGACCAGTTTGTTCTTCAGTAGATCTTGAACATAGAAGTGAAAGTTTCCTATAATCCCACCCCCAGAGAGGACACTATTAAAGCTTGCTGAATTTTCCTCCAGGTCAGAGGTTCTCAAACTGGTTTCGGAACCCATTGGCACTCTTAACATTTGAGGAGCTCCCCTCCCCCAAGCTTTTGTTTATGTGAGTTATCTAGGACTCTAACATTTACATGTTAGGAAGTGAAAATGGTGTTCCATGAAAAAGCTGGGTTAGACTGCACCCCGGACACCAGCAGTGTTTTCTTTGCTACCACATTGTACTGGTGGAGGGCACTGGAGCCAGAGCTGCTGGTCCTGGGGCCCTGCCTGTGAGAAGCTGCCCTCCCCCGTGTGCCTTCTGCTCCTGTCCCGGTGGCAGCCTGTTCGCTTTCTGCCTAGGGCGCACGGCGACAGCCAGCACTGCAGGAAGGCTCTGCACCGCGCCGTCCAGTGCACCAGTGACTACCCAGAGCACGTCTGTGAGGTGCTGCTCACCATGGAGAGGACAGAAGGTGGGACCCTCGGCTCTGCTTCTGCTTGGAGTCTGTAAGGACAGACTGTACGGCTACCCTTGAGTGGTGCTCCCCATGAGATCGAATCCTCTGCGATCTCCAGATCCAAGAGGACCCTGCGCTGTCTAGTTCTAGCATGGGTTTTCAGAATTCTTTGTAGAGGCCCATCCTGTGCACCGTAGTATTTTTAGCACTGGCCTCCCTGCCCCTAGTCGTGACTCCAGATGACCCCTGGGGTCAGGATCACTCCAGTTGATCTGCTCCAGCAGGTCATGCATGCCAGAGGAGCACAGGTGCAAACGAGTAATGTGTGCCTCACCTGCAAAGTTTAGAGCCTCAATGTTAAGTTTCCAGTAGGAAAATAGAGAATTTACCCCTGGCAGTGGTCTGGATTTTGGGTGGGAATCCCTCAGAACTTGAAATGAAACATCCAAACAGCATTTATCATTTGAGATGCTCAACTGCCTTGATATGTCTTACACCTTTTGCGTTGGAATGTTTCATCATCTTTGCCAGGGAGCACCCGTAATAGATCATATTCTGGTTTTCAAGTCTCTTCTGAAAGAGAGGGGATTTTTTTTGTTGTTGTTTTGATTTTGAGAAGGGATGTTTTAATCACAGCTTGGAAGGACTTGGAATTCTAAGCCTTTCAGTGAAATCACCTTAAAATGGGGAGCTGACTCTTGAAGGGGAGAGCTCTCCTGAGGGTGGGGAAATTAAGAAAAGCTTCCCAAACCCCAAAACTGAAAGTTCGCTTCTTTTTCCATTAAGGTACTTTGGAAGACTGGGATATAGCTGTTCAGAAAACCGAAACTCGCTTAGCCCGTGTGAATGAGCAGAGGATTAAGGTAATGATGCTGTTTGTAGAAAGTCTTGGGACCCTCTGATGGCTGTTTTGACCTTGTTTGCGGTGAATATTTTTTTGTCAAAACCTTTGAAGTCTATCTAAAACATGTCTTCTGCTTAAAAAGTATTTATTCTGACATATTTGAATCAATATTTAAATCAGTCTTTTATTATTTTTTTAGAACAACTTTAAACTTTAGCCCGAGCAATAGATACTATTTTATGTAGTGCGGGGATTTTGGCCCTAAAATTTACTAGAATAAAAGAAAAAATAATTAACAAGAGCCTCTCTAGTGATTGGAATATGAACACCCCAAATTCATTAGGGCCCCCGTTTCTCAGATTCTTTTTCTCGTGGCAATTCCTGGGCTGTTGTGAGACACACTGTGGGTTGGAGAGGGATCCCGAGAGGCGGGAGAGCCTGGCAGGGAAGGTGTGAGCACATCTCCTATGGTCGCGTCCTGTCACTTGGTAATGAATTTCCCCTCCCTGGCCCCTCCGTCCCTTCTCACCACCGGTCGGTAGAGTGTCATTGCTGCGTCCAGTGATGCACCACATGCCCCATTTTCCAGGCTGCGGAGAAGGAAGCCGTCCTCGCCCAGCAAGCAGAGGAGAAGGCTGGGCTCCGGAAGAAGGCCCGGGCCGAGAAGAAAGCGCAGAAAAAGAAAAAGACCAGAGGCGCAGACAAGCGCAAAGCAGATGAGGACGATGAGGAGGAGTGGGGCGACGACGACGAAGGTAAAGCTTTTCACACACACAGTTTGGAACATCTCAGCCTCCCAGAGAAGTTGCAAAAAAAACAGTACAAAGAACTTTTTTTCTTGAACCATTTGAGAACAGGTGCTGGCAAGACACTCCACCACCCTTCCTGTCTCTGCCTACCTCTGTGCCAGGTCCTGCCCTGCAAGGGACCTGCGCTCCACTCCCTTCTCTGTGCCGTTGCCTCCACTGCCGCCTCTGTGGGGCCGTCCTCACCACTCGGCCTCCCGTACCCCAAGCTGTTCCTGTCCCATGTTGACATCCCCTTCTTCCCGCCCAGGGTGCAGCGTCCCTTACCATTGCCTAGCCCAGTGGTCGGCAAACTCATTAGTCAACAGAGCCAAACATCAACAGTACAACGACTGAAATGTCTCTTGAGAGCCACATTTTTTAAACTTAAACTATATAGGTAGGTACATTGTTATTAATTAGGGTACTCCTAAGCTGGCCTTTGCTAAAAACTCAAGGGGCCAAAGAGCCACAAGTGGCTCTTGAGCCGCAGTTTGCCGACTGCTGGCCTAGCCCCACCTATAGACACCTGCCTTCTTGCCCTCACCTATGGTTTTGAGTCAGAGTTTTCAGCCAGTGTTTCTGTCAGCCATGCAACTTCAGGAATGGGTAGGTATGGGTCAGATTTATTTCCGCAGTCAGTCAAGGTAAAGAATTGTCTCTAGGCATGAAGGAACTCTGTGCATTTTTCTGGTACAAAGTTGTCAGCCAGAGGGAAATGGGAATGGAGCCATCATTCAGGTGACCTTTCTTGCACGCCTTTTTGGGGCCTTCAGAAATGACCGTAGCAACTCTTTGCCCCTCAGAGCTTCTGGGCTAGCAGGGTAAGGCAAACGTGCCTTGTGACTGATGTTGTGTAATCTGTGGCAGGTGAGATGTGGATTATGGTGGAAGTAAAGGCATGAGTGGGTCAGCTCTTGCAAGAAAGAGTTCATGAGAGTGATGTGTGCATCTTGGCAGCGGGGCAGGAGTGAGTGACTGTTGAGAGGGAAAGAAGGGAAGCCAGAGCTGGTGTCAGCACGAGGCACAAAACAGCCTGGCACTCTCTCTGAGCAGCAAATGACTGGGTGTGTGCCCCGGCGCATGCTGGGGGCCAGGTGCATGGTGTGAGGCTGCAGCAGCAGCAGGCCAGCTGGCTGGGCCCCACTCGGATGCTCTTGAACACAGTGTGCAGGGTGAGACTTCAGGAAGCAGTGGGAACTTGGTGGAAGGCTCTGGAAGTGGGGGTCCAGCACCAAATGGGTCTCAGTGTTGTGCCTGGAGAGAGTGGGGAGGTGGGTTGTGCCTGGAGAGAGTGGGGAGGTGGGCTGGAGCAGGATGTTGTTCAGCTCTCTTGAAGGACACAAGACGATAGTGGACGTAGTTAGGAACTATAAGCCCTTTGCAGAGCTTTCCAAAGTGTGGTCACGTGAAGCACACACTTCAGAGTCACCCAGACGCTTTAGACGCAGGTGCCAAGCCTTGTCCTTGCTGACCTGAGCCTTGTAGGAGCGGGGCCGTGGATTGGCCAGCTGTACTTTCCAGACCCCGTGACTTTCACAGAACTAAGTGGACAGAGGACTTACTGTTTCTACCTGAGTTAGCCCCCTCGTCCGAATGTCATCCGAGTCCAGAAAGGGGTGGACCAGCCGTGGGCCAGGAAAGACTCGGCAGGCGGTGCTCACCGGCCAGCAGGAGCGGGTGCCGGTCCCCTGCCGCTGCTGCAGCCGCCGTGCACAGTGGGCAGAGCCGTCGGGGCACCGGCTCAGTGACCAGTGACGGGAGGGAAGGTAATTGTTGCTGCTTCTCTTCGACAACCCGCAGAGCGGCCTTCCAAGCGCAGGAAGCTTGAGAACAGCGTTCCTGCAGCCGCGGAGGCTCCGGACCTGGCAGCGGAAACGGGTCTCTTTGGGAAAAGCGCCTCTGCAGACGACGCCCCCGCCTCGAAGCAGGAGAGGGCCGCCGCCCCGAAGAAGGACGTGCCCAAGGTGCCCCACGACAGCAGCAAGGACAGCGTCACCGTCTTCGTCAGCAACCTGCCCTACAGCATGGCCGAGCCCGACGTGAAGCTGCGGCCGCTCTTCGAGGCCTGCGGGGAGGTGGCCGAGGTCCGCCCCATCTTCAGCAACCGGGGCGACTTCCGGGGCTACTGCTACGTGGAGTTCAAGGAGGAGAAGGCGGCCCTGCAGGCGCTGGGCTTGGACCGGAAGGACGTAGGCGGGAGGCCAATGTTCGTTTCCCCCTGTGTGGACAAGAGCAAAAACCCTGACTTTAAGGTATGTTTGTGGGGAAAAGCACGGCTTTCACGCAGGGCTGCTATAGACTGACTGAACATTGTTTTTGGTGCAGCAGCTAAGATTGCACACATACATGGAATAGCTATGTTCTGAGCTGGTTAATTAAATTAAGGTCCGATTCATGGCTCAGTCACTTGGAGCTCACATTAGCTGATGCATGATCATAAAATGAGGAATCGGAATAATGGCGATGGTCCATTGAGAGCATAGGAGTGACTGTGCTAAATGTTTTATGTATCACCTTAGGGCAGTGGTTGGCAAATTGCGGCTCGAGAGCCACATGTGGCTCTTTAGCCTCTTGAGTGTGGCTCTTCCACAAAATACCATGTGTGGGCTCACACGACACTGTGGTTGAAACTTTGTGGTCCATGCGCAGAAGTCTGTTTTCGGCTCTCAAAAGAAATTTCAATCATTGTACTGTTGGTATTTGGCTCTGTTGACTGAGTTTGCCGACGACCACTGCCTTAGGGGATCCTCACGCTGAGAATAGCTCCTTTCATTGTAGCCATTCTGTAGAGGAGGGAAGTGGTGACGTGCCCAGTTACCAATTCCTAGCACCCAGGTCAGCTCTGGCCTGCCGGGGCGTGGCCAGTGTGCTGCTGGGCCTCTAATTGTTGGTTTCCCCTCCTTCCTTCCTAGGTGTTCCGGTACAGCACTGCCCTGGAGAAACACAAGCTGTTTATCTCGGGCCTGCCCTTCTCCTGCACTAAAGAGGAGCTCGAAGAGATCTGCCAGGCTCATGGCACCGTGAAGGACATCAGGCTGGTTACCAACCGGGCTGGCAAGCCGAAGGTCAGTGTCGGAGTGGACGTCCAGGCTCGGGGGAAGCCAGTTCTGCGTCTGTGCAGATCATTGGGGTCCTAGTTTATCTGCTGAGAAACAAATGGCACATTAGGCTCTGCTTGCATTTAGAGTCAGATTAACTGCATCTCATTGTACTCAAAAGATAATAAAAAAAAAAAATCAAGCATGAATTCACAGGGGAGCACAGTTCGGAATTAGAGGCGAGGGGCCTGAGGGGCTGCCCTCGGCAGTCTCCTTCCTGCCCGACTCCAGCCATTTCCTCAGCTCCCTCCACCCCTTCTAGTCTCTTTTTAAACCCTCTTTGCACCCCATTCTGAGTAATGGGCCCATGTTGTTTAACTTGTGTTTGTATTGCCTTTCTTCTCTGCCCCCCCCCCCCCACCCCGGTCCAGGTTAATTAAGAGTTACTATGAAATAAGGGGGCACAAAGGCCACACCTGGGCTGCTCGCCTTGTCCAGGCACCGCAGCCGATAGGATAGCTGGATTTATTTACACTGGTCCGTCGGTCCTTTTCTTTCTTTGGCCGGAGCAACCACAGGAGGTACTGACCTTACGGAGGTCACTGAAGTTCCAGTCCGTCACAGACGTGAAGGGGAAGCGTGGGGCAGGGAGCAAACCTGTAGACAAAGGTGCAGTGGTGCGAGCTCACCTGTCGATGGGGTGCCTGTCCCGACCAGACTCCCCAGCACTGACCTGCCTCTCCCTTTCAGGGCCTGGCCTACGTGGAGTACGAAAACGAGTCCCAGGCATCACAGGCGGTCATGAAGATGGACGGCATGACTATCAAAGAGAATGTCATCAAAGTGGCCATCAGCAACCCCCCTCAGAGGAAAGTTCCGGAGAAGCCAGAGGCAAGGAAAGGACCAGGGGGCCCCACTGTGCCCCGGCAGACATATGGAGCGTAAGTATGTGCAGGCTAGCCATGCAGACTTTGTCCCGTCATACCACGGGGGATTGGTCTCCTCTTAGCACAGCACGTTAGGGCAGCCAGCCAGTCCCCTGCAGCGCAACCCTTCCCGGTGTTTGCCAGGTACCCTGTGACTTCTTTAAAGTCCTCTTTGCTAGTTGAAGTCATGTGTTTAAACAAAGCCCGACAGCCAGATGCTGGCCAGGGCCGTCTCCAAATGAACCAGGGGTCAATGGGTTACTTGAAAGGGTACATTCAGTGTCTGCTCTTCCAGGCGGGGGAAGGGAAGGACCCAGCTTTCTATGCTGCCCCGCGCCCTGCACCGCCCGAGCACCGCCGCAGCTCAGGCCGAGAACGGCCCCGCCTCGAAGCCCGCGGCCACCGCCTCAGCGGCCACCGAGGCTCCCAAGATGTCCAATGCCGACTTTGCCAAGCTGCTTCTGAGAAAGTGAACGGGACTCGGAGAAAGGAGATGCCTGCCTCCTTGCTGCCGGGAGGTCCACCACCACCCAGCTGCACCGGGCACGGGAGGGCCCGAGGCAGCGCGGTGTCCCTGGCGTAGACAGAACGGGGACGGGTGCCGAGCAGAGGCTGTCGGTGTTCCCTCACATTGAGGGTGACAGGGAAACAGTCACTCCATGGCCTGGGCACCAGGTATCGTTTCTAAGATATTTTTTGTCTTGAAGAGAAACGGGAGTGAAACTTGGACACACCCTTTGAGACACATCTGTCCAAATGTTTCACCAACTCAGGCCCCTTCTTATAAGACATTTCTCTTACACTCTGCACAGTCCATATGCCTGTCACTCTTTTATAAAAGACAAAACGGCAAACGCTAGCAATTCACCAGAATGGCCTATTTTAGTAAAGGGGTGGGCAAGTCACCTGAAAAACATTTGGTGGATTTTTGTTTTAGGGGCTGTGCGTTTTTATATTATGTATTTGTGACACGTCAATTCACTGTTTCCTCAAAATATGTGACATTTGTTTTGTACAGGAATTCTGTGTGCCACCTGCCGTGGACCCTTTTCTTTGCCTCGTGAATAGTGGGCTGTGTTGTTCTTTGTCTCAATACTGAGTTTCAGCCCTTAGGTTTTGTTTAAATGCCATGTCAGTGCAAACTTCAACTTTCCTCATGTAGCTTTGTTTATTAAACCGAAGTTCTCTTAAGAACCTCTTGCAGAATGGTACTCCGCTGTGCATTCCAGTTTGGGTGTGTTTTGAAATTCGTGTACCTTGCTTTACCTGACGGATGTGTAAGAACTTTTAAATCAAAGTGACTGGGGTTTGACTTACAAGTCTTTTCAGCTGTGGTGTGTCTTCAGCTTCAACCTTCATAAAGAAGCGGGCTGAATTTCTGACAACCCCTCCTGCATCCTCCTGACAATGGGGCACCTCTTGAAAAAGACAACATAGTAGTCTCAGGCATTTATTTAATATAATAAAAATATTTTATTAGAGTCAGTTACTTAAAATAATGTCCTTCACATATAGCTAAAGTGCCAATTTCCATAGTAAAAGCAAGCACTTTCATCAGGCTTCCTTGGTGAGCTTTATAAAATCAAGACGACAGATTTAAGGTTAAATACCGTATGGCAGCACACAAGTATGAAAATACTTTTATAAAGGTCTGAGTAATTATCACTTGGGGCCATTTCATACAGCTTTATACTTATTTTCCAGAAAACCATTCTGAATGTGCTTGTTCAACAATTACCTATAATCTAAACACTTGCTACTTAAGAGCAGTGACCTCATTACTATTAGGATCGGAATTCTCACATCAGAGACATTATCTTTTCACCGACATTCAAAGTGCAGCGCAGGGTTAGGCATCACGGCTCTGCCCATTCTCACTCAGCAGCAGCTGTAATGGCACCTGAGCTGTATGTGATTGAAAGAGGAGATTCTATGTCATAGAAGGACAGCTTGCCCATGTGACATAAAACATTTTATAAGTTAGGAAAGTAAGGCCACTCCAAGACAGTCTATTCTGCCTCCCCCAGGGAGAGGCTGGACATACAGGGGCTGTGGGAAGGGGGGACAGGTGAGCAGTGCTGTGGTCAGAGAGTTTTTGTGGTTTAGCACAAACTGGTGCTCTAATGAACTCACTGAGATGCTGACACGGCACCTGATTTCTTTAACATCTACCAAGAGAAGATGCTGAACTCGGAGGGGGCGGTGAGGGCAGACTCGCCCGACTGCCTGGTACCTGGCCGGCAGCAGGATCAGCTGTTCGGTGAAAGCCCAGGGAGCTGCCAGACTAACACAGCTGGTCTGAGTTGCTGCAAATGAAGTGAGAGAAACATCAACAGGCAAACCGGGGTGGCCATTCCCTTATTAATTAGAAAAATAGCCTCTGACACTAGAGTCTGCAAACTATGGCTCTTCCCTGAAATAAGCAAGGGCAAGGTAAAACTAGAAATGGCAACACTCATTTCTTTCATTTTGTATCTCAGAAGTTGGCCCTGACAGAATGAGTCACACGACTAACACCTCTACGAAAGCAAGCTTTCAATCATTTCTCGAAATTGGGATCAGGTTTTCCCGGGAGTGCTGACCTCCAGGCAGTCACAGCCGGCCTCAGCCGGCCTCAGAGGAAGACCTGGCGGATTCGTCCTGTCTCTGGACCTCACCCCCGTGTTGGCCTTTCCTTACCTTAGTGCAAATTCTGCTCCAGAACTGGTCTGGTCACGCAAGGAGCACTGGTGCCCCCAATGCCTGCTGGGACCCCCACAGGACGGGCCACCAGCACAGATGGCAGACACATTTACTGGCTCAAAAGAAGAAAATAAATAACTTGGCTGAATTTATAAGTTATCTTAGAGACAAGGCTTAATAACTTAGTTATTTTCTTTTTTTAAAAAAGAAACACATTTGGAGATAAAGAACCTTTTAAGTTCCTTATCTGTTTCCTTCTGCTTTGGAGACAAGGTTTCTAGAAATGCTAAGTATTGATTTCCCCCCCCCTCCCCCTGGAAACCTGTCGCCAAGGGGAGATATGGGAGGGTTAAGGTTTCACCGGCAGCGTGTCCTTGAACCCAGAGTGATTGGGTGTGGCCTCCGGCAGTGCCACCGGGTACTCCGTTGTGGCGAAGAGCAGGGTGTCCAGGGTGGTCTCCGTACACTTGGCGATGAAGCGGATGAAGGGCCTCACGTCGCCTTCGTTGGCCACCTCCAGCACGTGGTAGTACTCGGACCGCTGCTCCTTGCGGATGGTGATGGGCGGGTAGCCCGCCTGCATCAGGATGAGGTTCATCAGCAGGCGCGAGGTCCTCCCGTTGCCGTCGATGAAAGGGTGGATGTAAACGAGCTTATAATGGGCCAAGGCCGCAAACTCCACGGGGTGCAGGTTCATGGCGTCCTCGGAGTTGAGCCACTGGACGAACTCCTGCATCTGCTTTTCCACATCCTGCGGATGGGGAGGGACGTGGTGCCCCACCAGGACCTGTGTCGTCCGGAACCTGCCGGCTTCCACGGGATCCACGTAACCCAGCACCCGCCTGTGGATCTCCAGGATGTCGCCGATGGTGACGGACCCCATGCGGGACACCAGCGTCGCGTTGACGTACTTCATGGCCGCGTGCATGCCAATGACCTCGTTCTGCTCCTCCAGGCTCTTCCCCGGCACCGCGTAGCGGGTCTCCAGGATGTGCCGGATCTCCGAGAGGCTGAGGGTGTTGCCCTCGATGGCCACCGTGTGGTAGATGTGGTGGTAGTACGTCTCCTCCATGACCCTCTGCAGCGCCGAGCTGCCCTTGGGGATGGACATGACCTTCCTCACTTTGTCGTCGATGATGCTGAAGTAGCGCTGGTCGATCTCCTCCACCAGCGGCAGCGTGCGGTCCCGGTGGACCAGCGCCTTCTCGTGGGCGGGCGAGATGGTCAGCGCCCGGGTGTACAGGTAGTCCGCCTGGATGATGTCCTCCTCCTCCTCGGAGAAGATGCCGAACTCGGTGAGCGCGTCCACCGAGTCGGGGTCCATGCTCAGGGCGTGCAGGAAGAGCCTGTGGGCCTTCTTGCGCTTGCCCTGGCGTTTCATCTCCAGGGCTTGGTGCAGAGCCGCTTTGGCTTCCAACCTGGCGGCTGGAAAAGAGCCAAAGAGGCATTAGCAGGGAGGGAGGGCGTGGCCACGGACCCTCAGGTCACCTGTGACCTCTGCTGGGCCCCCGGGGGGGACATGGCCTTGGGGCTTGTTCTAGGCAGGCTGTTCAGGCCCCGTACCACTGCATGTGACGGACCTGCATGTATGCACGTGGTGGTTTTCCATGTGTCCCCAGAGCCGTTCTCTGTACCCCAGGAGGTATCACCTGGCCCCCTGCCTTCCATTTGCCATATTGGGGGACTGTGAGCCAGCACGGCCCTGCCTGCATCTTCTCCAGCTCCTGGCTGTTCTGGTGATCCATCCGGTGGTGCCTCCCCTGCCTGTAGGCCGGGCTGGGAACAACTCCCCGCTGGTGCTGGCTCCCTCGGCCTCCCCATCCCTGGGCCCTTAGCTTTAATTCCGTTAATCTTCAGCCACACCTGCTTGACATCTCGTTTCCTTCCACCAGTCTCTCCCCAAAGGGCCCCCCCCTCCCCCAGCTAGAATCAGCCACACACACTGGGCTTCTTTTAGTTCTTTAAGTGCCCCGGGCTCTCCTACCCTCTGGTCCCCTCACAACTGTTCCACTGGGTCACTCCTGCTCACACTCGGTCTCAGCTTAGGTGCCCCCTCCTCCAGGGAGCCTTCCTGGTGTGCTCCTGTGACCCCCTTCGCTCCCCCATCACCACACTGGTGACGCTGTACCTGTCACCTTTCTGCCTGTACAGGCTGGGAGGTCAGGGCTGACTTCTTCACTGTATCCCCATGCCCCGCCCCAGGACACAGAGGATCCTGGACACCTGAGAAGTGCTGAAGAGGGTGATGTCCGTACCACGGGGGAGTGAGACGACGCCATTGTTTCTCCCTTAGAATGTACACAAAGACCACGGATTCAACGGAGCATCACCTCAACGCCCTAATGCCTAAAGGATCCCCGCGCAGGAGCGCCCGAGGACGGGAAGCGGGGAGGTGGGACAGGAAGGACAGGGGCAGAGATGAAGTTCAGTAGATGGAGATGGAGAAGTGTGTGCAGCCTGCAGTGTGTGGGGCCGGGCAGGTTCCCGCCAGGAAAGGACCCCTCCCTTCCGGCTCCCCATCGAGGCTAAGCCAGGGAGAGGCAGCTGGGAAGTCTTAACGGTGCCCTCAGCCTCTGCCGCCGGCGGGGCACCGAGCTGTGAGACCGCCAGCTTGTCTCCGCTGCCCAGACACCCCGGCAGAACCCGGGAAGGGAAGCTGGGAAATGATGCCAACAATCTGGGGTGCCGCAAAGGTGCAGAGCAGCGGCATCTACACAGCGTGCCAATGGACCGGACCGAGCCCAGAAACACGCCCTCCCGTACAGGGCATCCCCCCAAATACACACAGCACACGACGTTTGTGGTCCTATTACGTTTTGCAAATGCAACGTATTTTAATAAACACTGCCTTTATAGTTACTCAAAGCGCGTATACATTTTGGGGGACACCCTAAATATATGGGCAACTGATTTCCGTAAAAGGAGCCAAAACATACACTGGAGAAAAGGAACGTCTCTTCCATGAGTGACCCCGGGAAGACGAAAAAGCCACACCACATGCAAAAGAACAGAACAAGGGCCGGCAGACCAAACACAAAAAGTAAAGCTAAAGTGGGTCAAAGACGGGAAGGCCTGAATCAACAAAACACAGCCAGCCCTCGGTTCCCCAACGTCTCTCACCTCAAACAATTCGCTTTCCAATCAAGTTCTTCACAGAAAGTCTTGGTTGTCGACCAAAACTTCAGTTTTCGCCTGACAACCCTTTCGCGCTGACAAAAAGCATCTCTTAGGCAACAAACACAGGAGAGGATGCTTTTGCTGCTGGTGAACAACAAGGACAATGGGCACAATTCCGAAACAGAAAGAGGCCATCAAGAGCGCCAATGTGCGAAAGTGCTCACAAAACACCTCAGGCAATTGGAATCGGTAGAGAAACCTGGGAATTGGGCGCATGAGAAGCAGCTGGTGCCGGCATTTTGGAGGCAGTGGTATAGTTCAGTGGTCGGCAAACTGCGGCTCACGAGCCAAGGTTTGTTGACTAATAATCACAAAGAACAACAACAGCCTGTAATTATTGGAATCGAGAGGCGTCTAGGTCAGTGGTTGGCAAACTCATTAGTCAACAGAGTGGCAAACTGGCTCGCGAGCCGCAGTTTGCTGACCACTAGTATAGTTTAAGGCTAGTAGGGGGTGAGTTAATAAATTTAAGAAAAGTTAAAACGAAATCATTTGGGGATCTGGAACAGAGTAATTCAATTTACATTATTTCTAATGGGAAAGATGATTCTGTTTTCGAACAACTCGCTTCTCAAGCAGCCTTCTGGAACTAATTGAATTCGAGAACGGGAACCCATTGTATAAAAAATATATATATATACACATATACATATACATATACATATACATATATATATATATATATATATATATATATATAGAGAGAGAGAGAGAGAGAGAGAGAGAGAGAGAGAGAGAGAGATAGAGAGGCGCGCACTAAACATACAGACCTTGCAGGGCCTTAGGGATTTTTGTGAACTTGACCCCAATGGTAAGGGAAGTAAAATCAAATGGATGGCACTGCATCAAACCAAAAAGCTGCACGGCAAAGAAACCATAAAAACAAAAAGGCAGCCAACCGAACGGGAGACGATATTTACAAATCACACCTCCAAGAAGGGGCTAACATGCAAACTACATAAAGAACTCATACAATTCAACAACAAAAAACACGGTTAAAAAATGGGCGGGGGACCCGACTAGACATTCTCCAAGGAAGACACAGCCAACAGGCATCTGAAAAGATGCTCACCATCACTAGTGACAAGGGAAACGCGAATCAAAACTACAAGGCACCATCTCATACCTGTTACAATGGCCACCATATGACCCAGAAACCCCTCTTCTGGGTCTCCACCCCCACAATGTGAAAACAACTTATTCATAAAGACATCCGTAGCCCTACCTTCACTGCAGCACTCTTCACAACAGCCAAGGCATGGAAACAACCCAAGTGTCCTTTGACGGCTAAAATGGATGAAGATATGGTACACACATATAATGGACTATATATACTACTTAACCATAAAAAAGGTGAAATATTGCCATTTGCCACAGCATGAATGGATCTTTTTTTTGATATTTTACAGAGAGGAAGAGAGAGAGAAACATCGATGAGAGAGAAACATCAATCAGCTGCCTCCTGCACACCCACTTCTAGGGATGTGCCCGCAACCAAGGTACACGCCCTTGACCAGAATCGAACCCGGGACCCCCTCAGTCTGCAGGCCGACGCTCCATCCACGGAGCCAAACCGATTTCGGCAGCATGAAAAGATGGGATCTGGAGAGTATCACGCTAAGTGACATGTCAGCCGGAGAAGGACAAGAACTGTTTCAATGCACTCATAGGTGGGATATAAAGCAAAAAGCAACAAACAAAACAAAATGGTGGACAACAGAAAGGTGGTTTCCGAAGGGGGAGGGGACTGATTGGTGGGAGGACGAAGAGGGTACGTGGTGACAGAGAGAGACAAGACTTCGGGTGAGGAGCGCACAACAGAACATACAGATGTCCTCTTATAAAGTCGTACACCTCAGGTTTATGTTATTAACCCATGTTTCCCCGATAAATACAACTTAAAAAGTGCGCAAATGACATAAACGGTAACAGATAAATAAAATGTGCCACAATCCATAAAAACAAAACCCCAAGAGCCGAGGGGAGACGGCCGCTCTGTCTTACCTGGGGAGGCCGGGGCCTTGACCACCAGCAGGCCCGCGTCCCTGGCGGTGACGCTGAGCTCCGTGCAGGGGCTGGAGCACCTGCTGCCGGCGTGCTGGGCCCGGTCCCAGTGGCTCCGGAGCAGGGAGAAGCCCCGGAGCAGGGCCAGCCGCTGCTCCTCCACGGCCGACAGCGGCAGCAGCAGGGCCAGCAGCGACCCCAGCGCCATGCTCAGCAGCGTCACCCACAGGAGGCGGCCCCAGAGGGGGACCCATTTGGGTTCGGCCACGGCCATCACGGACGCCGCCATCGGCGCGAGTGTCATCTGGGCCCGGGGGGGCGCCCCTCGCACATGCCCGGGGTCGTCCGAGAGCCCGCGCCGGACCTGAAAGGAACGAGAGGTGCGGGGATGAGCCGGGGGGACCGCTATGTGTAGGACACGTGCCTGTCTCCGCTGGGGCGTGGAGACCCCCCTCTTCCTGACTCGCGTGACCAGGGGGCGGGGGCACGCAAGGAGTGGGATACATGGGGGCGGGGCCAGCCTGAATAGCAGCACTGCAGTTGCCCAGCATTTATTATTTTTATTTTTTTAAATATATTTTATTGCCGAAGCCGGTTTGGCTCAGTGATAGAGCGTCGGTCTGCGGAGTGAAAGGACCCGGGTTCGATTCCGGTCAAGGGCATGTACCTTGGTTGCGGGCACATCCCCGGTAGGGGGTGTGCAGGAGGCAGCTGGTCGATGTTTCTCTCTCATCAACGTTTCTGGCTCTCTATCCCTCTCCCTTCCTCTCTGTAAAAAAATCAATAAAATATATTTTAAAATATATATATACACACATATATATATTATTGATTTTTTACAGAGAGGAAGGGAGAAGGATAGAGAGTTAGAAACATCAATGAGAGAGAAATACCGATCAGCTGCCTCCTGCACCCCACACCACCCCTGACTGGAGATGTGCCCTTGACCGGAATCGAACCTGGGATTTTTCAGTCCACAGGCTGATGCTCTATCCACTGAGTCAAACCGATTTCAGCACCCAGCACTTATTAAGCACTTGCTGTGTGCCAAGCACGAAGGACCTGCACATACCCTCCTGCAATCTATAGCAGGAGCTGATGCTACTGTCACCTGCCCCCCACCCTCCAGATGAGGACACAGGCTCAGAGAGGGGAATGCCTCTTGCCCCAAGTCACCCACGGGGCAAGTGGCAGCCTTGGGGCTTGAATTCAGCTCCCTGTGGCTCTAGAGTCTCTCCCCTTCATCAAAAATTCCTTTGTGCTGCCGAAACCTTTTTAGCTCAGTGGATAGAGCATCGGCCTGCGGACTGAAGGGTCCCAGGTTCGATTACGGTCAAGGGCACGTACGTTGGTTGTGGGCACATCCCCGGGGGCATGGGGGTGTGTGCAAGAGGCAGCTGACGGATGTTTCTCTCTCATCGATGTTTCTAACTCTCTATCCCTGTCTCTTTCTCTCTGTAAAAAATCAATAAAAAAATAAAGTCAATAAAAAGATTTTTTTAAAAAATCCCTTTGTGCTGAGCATCTAACGCACGCACGCGCACACACACACACACACAAATGGGCTAAGACAGTTCCGAGGCCCATCTTTTTTGATAAGCACGACTATCTGGTGCTCTGACTTATTGCCCAATGGCGGGGGCCCCCTCTTCCCGCCCTTACCCTGCTATTAGCCACGAAGCCAATCCCTCTCTCTGGCCTTCCTCCCTTTACTGGCTTCCCCCCAGAGACGGTGGGATCCCTGCCTAGAGTGGGGGCAGCCAAGCATCTCAAAAAAAACTAACTCAGTGTGAGGCCAGAGCGAGGGACCCCTCGTCCTCTGTGCCAGGGGGGCCTGTGGTTGGGGCTGGCGGTGGGAGTGTGTGTATGGGGGTGAGGGTGGGGGTCAGGGATGCAAGCACCATTATGCTAACAATAACCATTTATTGGGCAGCTATGGGGTGCTGAGCACTGAGCTGAGTGCTAGCCATGCATTACTGCCACAACCCTCGGTACCTGGAGGAGAGCTAGCCAGCTCCATTTTGCAGGAGGAGGAAACAAGACACAGAGGCAGGGCAGGCCAACCCCCCGGAGGCCCCCGGGGAGTAAATCGGGGCACCAGGAATGAAGCCCAGGTGCCTCCCGGCGCAGGTGCCCAAGTCTCTCTCCCTCCTCCCCCCCCCCCCCCCCCCCGCCTCCTCTCCATCCACCACCAGGGCCTGTGCACCTGCTCCGGCTGCTCCTGGGGCGAGGCCTCCATGCACCTGGAGGGGCTCATCAGGCTTTTGATTGCTTCGGGCTGTGAGTCTAACGGAGGAACCTGGCTCCTTACACTGTCTAACGGAGACGGTGTGGGTCTCTGCTTCGTCCGAGTGGTCCTGCGCCCGCACCCGGCGAAGCCCAGGTGCCTCCCTGCTCGGCGGGGCTGGAGTTCTCCGGGGACGCGGGTTCGCGCCAGGAGGGAGCAGGGCGCCCCTGGAGGCGCGGATTCCTCGCCCCCGACTACGCCGCCGGGAAGGGAGACACCGAGGCCCCGGGAGGGACGTGGACTGGGCTCAGGTCATCCCGGGGGGCCGCCCCTTTCCGAACCCCCACCCTCCGGACCCTCGGCCCTGCCGCCCCCTTCCCGGCCCTCGGGCTCGCCCCCGGCTCACCGCGCACCTCCGCCCGCCAGGCACCGCCGCCGCCTCCTTCCCGGCGTTCTCAGGCTCCCTCCGCCTCCTGACCCCGCCCTCCCCGACTCGCCATTGGTCGGTTCGTCACCCTCCTCGCCGCGGGTTGGCTCCCCTCACTGCTCCGCCCCTCGCACTTCCGGGTTCTCGCGTCTACGTCAGCTTCCCGGGAAAGACTCGCCGTGGGCTACTCCCATTGGCTGGCTTCTGCGTCGCTCTCGGGCCCGCCGCAGCCAACAGGCAACGGGAGAGGCGGGACCTGGGAGAGGGCGCGAGTGGCCGGTGCAGAGGAGGCCGTGCAGGTGCGGATCTGGGCAGGTTCGGTGCAGGCACGGAAACTCGCAGTCCCGCCCGCACCTCCCTGGCCTCAGTTTCCCCAGGTGTAATAGGAGGATGCGGATGACTTGCACCTCTCCAGCCTGCTAACCTGACTCCACAGCCCAGTTCTTCCTCTCCACCTTGTGCTGCCAGGATCACCTTTCCCCCTTTTTCCCCCCTCTCCCCTTTCCAACCTGACTTTTAAATGTGGATCCTCCAGAGAAGGGCCTGGCTGCTTGCTTTGCTTCCTTAAAGAGACAGAGGATTTTTCCCCCCTTCACGCAGAAGCTGAAACCTCCATCGTAACTCACAAATACTGAAACATTCAGGACCTGCCCAGTAATTTTAAGCATGAAGATGTTATGTCAGCCCGGCTGGTGTGGCTCAGTGGTCCAGAGCCGGCCCACGAACCAGGAGATCACGGTTCAATTCATGAACCAGAAGGTCACGGTTCAATTCCCGGTCAGGGCACACGTGTGGGTTACGGGCTGGGTCCCCAGTAAGGGGCGTGCAGGAGGCAGCCGATCAATGATGCTCTCTCATCATCGATGTTTCTTTCTTCCTCTCCCTTCCTCTCTGAAATCAATAAATAATATATATATTTTTTAAAAAAGATGTTATGTCAACCAATGGTCATTGGTGTGATTTCAACACTAACAGGAGTCATGGAGAAGGGGGAGACTGCAGTGAGAACAGCCCCGGGGTGAAACAGCGCAGCTGTGGGACAGCAGGCTGTGAGGTGGCCTAGGAGAGGCAGCCCCAGTTTTTGGCATCGCAGCCCCCCTGTGACAGCACTCCTCTCTGGTGAGCTAGCTTTGGTGCTACAGCTCAGCTCTGGCCCTCAGGATCTGACCTCCTCCAACACACACATTCCCTTCCGGGAGCCACGCCGAGGGAGTGAGGGGCTGTGGGTGTCGCCTTTGGAGTCACACAGCCCCCAGTTCAAACCCCATGGTTACCACTTGCAAACTGAGCACATTCAGCCGTTTGACCTCCCAGATCCCCGTTTGCTTTTTGCAAGATTGGGACAATGTGCGGACCGTACAGCCCCTGGGGCCTTGTGTGAGAGCGAAGTGACAAGTGTCTGCTATCGCAATTGTTTCCCAGAGGAGGGCCGCTGAAGGACCGGAAGTGGTTGGTGGAGGAGTGGAAAGCAGTGAGGCTCTGGGGCCAGACAGATGAGTGTTCACATGCAGGGCCCAGGACTTACTATTGGTGTGGCCTTGAGCAGGTCACTTATCCTCACTACACTGGGTCGTATGGGGCTTGTGGACCTATGTCCTCTAGGCATAAGGTGATAGAATCATCTACTTTTATTATTAAAATAATAATAATTATTATTATTAAAATATTTTTTATTGATTTCAGAGAGGAAAGGAGAGGGAGAGAGATAGAAACATCAATGATGAGAGAGAATCATTGATCGGCTGCCTCCTGCACGCCCCCACAACCCGGCATGTGCCCTTAACTGGAATTGAACCCGGGACCTTCAGTCCTCAGGCTGACGCTCTATCCACTGAGCCAAACCAGCTAGCGGGGGGCGGGGGGGGGGGCAATCATCTACTTTTAGAGATACCATCCTTTCTCCATCCCTTCTTGCGATGCCAGTGCAAACACTTTAATGAGTTTAGGCCAGTGGTCGGCAAACTCGTTTGTCCACAGAGCCAAATGTCAACAGCACAACGATTGACATTTCTCTGGAGAGCCAATTTTTTAAAACTTCTCCTAATGCCACTTCTTCAAAAACAGACTCGCCCAGGCTGTGGTATTTTGCCGAAGAGCCACACTCAAAAGGCCAACGAACCGCATGTGGACAGGCTTAGGCCGTGGAAACAAACCCAGAGGCTATGTCAGAGCCGTGAGTGAGCCAATAGGGGAAGGCGGGGAGTGGTGGAGGATGAGAAAGCACCTCTTTTGTTCAAAATGGGCAGCAGCGTCTCAGCGCTGGCCTACGTTTGTTAAGCCAGGGTAAGGTGACAAGCGTCCCGCTTTGGGCGGGACAGTCCCGATTTTTAACAATTTGTCCCGCGTCCCGCGGTGTTTTTAAAAAAGTTCTGATTTTTGGAAAGATTCTTTTAAATCTCTTAGACTTTTTTTTTTTTTTTTTTTTTTTTTTTTTTAACACCGCAGGACGCGGGACAAATTGTTAAAAATTGGGACTGTCCCGCCAAAAGCAGGACGCCTGGTCACCTTATTAGGGTGCAGGCCAGAAATGGGCAGATTTTCCCATTTCTTTCCAAAAGATGTGTCAGGCCTAGATTTTTTTCAATACAATCTCCAGATTTTTAAAACAGTTGGCATGTTTACTTGCCGGCTACGGAGAGCTGCCGGATCC